AGAGCAAGTCGCTCGTGACAATAAGACAATCAATATGGGGCATATCATCTAATAATAGACCATAATTTCGATAGGGTCATCTAACAATAGATCATCGTTCGGGTTCGGTTGCCTAACGGTAGATCATCATTTAAGGCTAGATTTCTTAACAATAAACCATCATTTAAGTAGATTCATTTAATAATAGATCATGATTTCGAGCACGATCATCTAAACGATCATGATTTCATAGCAAGTCGCATGTGAGAACATAACCAAAAAGGCAGAGTTGCTTTTGAGAACATGACCAAAATGCAAGTCACCCAACACAACTTGACCGATATTTTTCTCTAATTTTTTTCTTTACAAGCTCACCGAATAAAGCCGACCAAAAATTTATACTTTTATTGATTTTGCATCGTAAGCATTATAAAAAGAGAACAATTATCATAACCTACTTTTTACCTCCAATAAATTTTTATGTTATACAAAATTCAAAAAAAAAAATTACATGTTATATAGTTTCTTGATTTTTTCCATAATTTTTAGGTATTTTTATAAATTTTTAGGATTTCATTTTTTTAGGATATTTCCTAATTTTAATTATAAAAAAACCAAAAAAAAAAAAAGAGAGAGAAAAATTTGGACATAAATTGAAGAATATAAAATGTATGAAGACCAACATAAATCAAAATGAGGGTGCGAGATGAAAAAAAAAAGGCTAAGGATTGATCTAGAATTAAGGAAAATATGAGAGACCAAAACAAAATTAACCCAAAACCCTAAAAATCTCATATAGATACATCTCTTTTACACACACACACAAAAGGCTTGCGTTCATTGCACTTCAAATGTAAGTCAATGTCGATAATATCTATGTTCTATTTAGGTCTTAGGTCGTGGGTGTTACAAAATAAATAAATTAAGAGTTAAGTAGGATCATTTTTATTCGGCGTTCGCATAAAGACTTTTAGATAATTATGTTGTTTCTCGACATATCAATAATGTCAAAATGCAATTGGATCCGATGCTAAATTGATGAGACTCTCAAGTTTTAGAGCCCAACATTAGTTTAATATGATTCCACAATAAAAAATAAAAGAATTAATTTTGAAAATATTTTTTCGTCCACATCCAAATAAAATACCGTTAGTTATTAGGTTGTTCCTTAGCACATCAATTGTGTCGGGATTTTATTAGATCCGATGTTAAATCAAAGCGAGTCTCAATCTTGGGGCTCGACGTTAATTTAATCCGATGCCATAATAAAAAATAAAAAAAATTAATTTGACCTAGATGATAAATAAACTTGGAAACGAGACTTAAGAAATAATTTGACAAACATAATTTTTAGGAGATAGTTTTAGAATTAAAATAGACCTAGTATCTTTCTTTGAAAATAGTACTCTTGGTTGATTGTTATCTTTCAAAAATCATAACTAACTCCTTGTCCATAATCTTTAAATCTATTTTTTTTTTAAGTGCCGACTCCAAATCTTTTTTTTTTAATTCCTTTTCCTTTACAAATAATAATAATTTATGGAAGTCTCCTAAATGTCGAGCAGTTGACTATATTCTTGAATGATATTTATGTTTTTAATTTGTTCTTTTGATAAATTTTTTTGACTATAAACAATTTTTGTTTTTTACCAAAATGAATAAAAAAATAAAAAAATCATATGATCTACATGTTCAATTTTTTCAAGTCTTTAGAATTTTTTTTTTTTGGGTGCATTTCAATCAAAAATATTTCGATCAAAAAAATTCTTATGTTCAAAAAATTGATTTGAATAACATGTTGAAGATTTAAATATTATTAAATAACATAACATATGTAATTAAAAATTAGAAGAATATATTGAAAATTTAAGCTATTATAAAAGGACAATTTGAGCTTTTTACCCTTAAATTAGTTGTAATGGTCATCTATATAAATCGGAATCAAAAGAAAATTAATTTCAATAAACTAAAGCTAGCTTGATAGTACCCTCAGTGTCAGGGTAAAATGATGTTGCCCAAAAAATAACAAGTCAAGCCTTTATTGTATTCTTCGTATGGTCTAGGTATGCTGATTTTCCACATCTTTTTCTTAAGTGTAATTTTAGGAAAAATAAAAATAAAAAATAAAATTGTTAGGAGGTGACAGAAGCCATGTGGCTACTGCATGAAAAATCATGGTGGGGGTATCCCTTCCAAGCAAAGCTTTTATGCTAAGCTCTCACGTCCTCATCAGCTAGGCTATCTCTTTCAAAAATAACATCATTTTATCATGTATCCTGTGGTTATCATCAAGACATTTGTCTGTTGAGGATAAAAACTTATGATTGATTGAAATTTGAGATTTTTAGATCATCTAGATTCACCTTTTTTCAGGACAATGCATAATATAATGGCTAGTTATTAATTATTATTATTAATAGGAGGCCTAAAAACCTTCAGTTTTGGTCCCACATTTGAGAATTTCAAGAAATATATTGGGACACATTATATATAAATATAAATAAATCTAAAATGTGCTTTTGAGACACATTAATTGTCATTATATTTAAAAAATAACAATGGTCATTGAATTTTTTTTTTTTTTTCACATCGTTATATATTCCTGAATTTCCAACCCTTGATAACGAAACGGGTAACCCTTTAACACACACATATATATATATTCAAAGGACATGTTTAATGAACCTATAATGTATAAAAGAGAGAAACAACAAGAAGTTAATGTCGGGTCAGGTTTTTGCTTTCTTTATTTTGTCTCTTTTTCACAAGTTGGGCATAAACTTATGCATGTAATTTTTCTTATTATTAATTTACTTATGCATAATAAAAATTATCATGTGCAATAAAATTTAATAATATTACAATAAAAAGAAGAAATAATGTTATTTAACTAATTCAATGGATATATTATTAATACTTTAAAACACAAAAACACAAGACACTTTCATTATTTCTTTCACTATTTAATAAATAGTATTTTTTTTTTTTTTTTTTCTTTCTGGGTTGAACCCAATAGCCAAGGCCTGCCATCAGCCTATATTGGCCACAGAGGCGCCTGACCTTATTTTTTTTTCATATATGTATATCAACCAGCGTCTTGCCTCACTTCTTTTTTTTTTTTTTCCCACGTATATATATATATATAAAACACAAAAGTAAAATGATATTTTACTATTCATAATACTGTTTATATACTCACAAATCACTATTCTTGTTATTTTTTTAACACTTTGGTTCTCAATTTTTCTATACTTTTTTTTTTAATTTCAAACTTTAATTGTATTGTTTGGTCCCATTTTGTTTTAGTGTTTTTTGTTAATTATTTTTATTATTTAAAATTTACTACTTTAATTTGTAATTTTTTTTAAATTTGCATCAAATTAATTTAAAATTATATGGTCCTCAATTTTTTTATATATTTTTTTTAATTTCAAACTTTAATTGTATTGTGATTTGGTCCCATTTTATTTTAGTGTTTTTTTAATATTTTTATTATTTCAAATTTACTCCTTTAATTTGTCATTTTTTTAAATTCTCATCCAATCAATTTAAAATTATATTTACTGAAAATTTTAATATTATTCATTCTTTTGTAAATAAATATATAAAAATTAAATTCACATTTTTTCAAAAATCGATATTCTCATCAACATTAAATAAAAATAAAAAAATTATTGTTCAATTCTATGTAAGCTTTTAATAATTTTTTATTTTTTTTAACACAATTTTATGAAATACTAAAGCTTTTTTTTAAAAAAAATTATTTAGTTTTTTTTTTAGTTAATAATCCATGAATTAATAAGGATAATTTTTTTTTTAAACAAAAAATTATGAAAAATACAAATAAGAAATAGTTAAATACAAAAATTTTTATTAAAAAATTATAAATATATATTTTTCACTTTTGATTTAATACATTTTTATTAATTCACACGATAAAATAGATTATCAAACTGAAATGATTTTTTTACATAATTTTATATGTTTTATCTAATTCACATCATAGCGCGGATAAAAAATTCAGTATTATTTAAAATTGGATGATGAAAAAATTGCTATTGCATAAGTAGCTAGTATCCACTGCACCGAGACTGTGGATTACTGTTGCAAAAACCCAATCTTACCTTGTTTTAGTCTAACCCAATCCTACCTTATTCAAATCAAATCAAATAAAAATTATTTTTATTTTCTTTTATGGATATCCATTGAGTCGGAGTAAATTATATATCAGTCTATTTAGTTTTAAATAAATAAATAAATATATTTATTTTTTAAAAAATTATTATTTAATCTTTTAATCAATGTTCATACTTAATTTGATATTATTTTTATTTTATAAAATATTTTTTATCAATTTTTTTATATATTTTTATTTCTTAAAAAAAAATTAATTAAAAAAAAAAGATTAAATTACAAGTAGATTTAAAAATATGATGATTAAATAATTAATTTTTAAAATAAAAAAATTAATTAATTTGTTTCTTAAAATGAGAGAGAGACTAATTTATAATTTACTACATGGAATCGAGTCAAATGGTAAATTCACATCTAACACACCCACATTCATAATGAAAAAAAAAATAAAATAAAATTGTTTCCAATAGGTTTTAAAGTAAAAAGAGAAAGAAACCCACTCGTATGTTTAATGGGATAACCGCCAAAGAGAACGAAACCTTGCCGAAGCCCAAAGAAAGCCCAATAATATGTACACGATTTAATGAAATCGAATCGACTCTCGAGGATCGAGGCCGACTTAATGAAATCACCCCCACTGCAGTGATCCCACGCGCTCAACTAGTGCGTTTATTTTACAACAAACGAGAACTTCAGACAAGAATAGAAGACGTACACCAATTACGAGAACTGACTGTCAGTGAACAGTGTAAGCCCTAGAAGGAGAACTCTAACGTCACTTTTCAATCACCTAACTACCTCACCCGCAGATTTCTCAAAGGAGAGGATAATTCTGGCTGTGACGTATTAACAATCACCCTCCATTTTACATTTTTGGTGAAACAGTAATGACAGTAACGGAGATCAACAGTACTCTAAGTTTCTATAAATCCCAATTTCAGAAAGGAATAATCACACGCAGAGTTTCAAGTGGATTATTTTCTTGGTCACTCAACCATGGCTTAAAAAATTAGGCGGTGCTTTATTTATTTTTAATTATTATTATATCATGTAAGGACTTTCTATTTTAGGATAAGAAAAAATGAAACGGACGTGGTGTAGAAATAAAAAAAATTATTTTAGTTTGATCTTGGTCCAGATTTAATTTTTATTTTTCTCACGTATAATTAGTTATAATTATTTTTTAATTTTTATTATCCAGGTATAATTAGCGGGCACGTGTTTATTATTTAGAATTTGAGAACCCTTGAATTTTTTTGGTGCCGTATGGAGGGTTCTTGGCGTGCATGGTTTACACCTGGCTAAGTGGGCTATTTTTCTTCCTCTCTTTAAATGTTGTCCTATTATTTTTTACTTTGTTTCTAATTTTTTTTCTTAACCTTCTACAAAGTCTTGTTGATTAAAACCATCTTTGTATTAAATTATTTTAATAAATTTAAATTTGATAATTATTAATACAAATAAATATAATTCTTATGACATCTAACAGCTAGAATTTTTTAAGTTTTGGACAGTGAATATTAAAGTTTTTGTAAAACTGTAATATAATTATTTATTATGTTATTTAAAAATAATTCTATATATAAAATCTTGGCACACTCGCCAGATTTGTCTCTCTGCCTCTTGTTTTGTTTGCATCCAATTTAGTTCCCGAACTTTGAATTTTGATAATTGTACCCCTACATTTCATACATACATATATATATATGTTTAATTTTCATCCGAAATTTTTTTAAGTTGCATGTTTATATTATTTTAGATTCCAAAAATATTAATATATGACTAACATAGGATTTAGAGGATTAATTGAATTAAAATTATTTAATTTGGGGTTAACGGAAAATATTTGAATTTAGAGTCTTGATGTTATTGGATAGATCTAAAAGGCTTTAAATTTAAATTTTAGGTGGTTTATATGTGTTTAAAATTTAATTGCATTGGGGTAGTGATTATGTAATATTTTAAGGATTTGTCTTACTTTTATTTTTATTATATTTATTACTATTATTATTTTTTAATAAAAAAGGGTAAGGCGATTGACTAAATATGTAATATTATTTTTATTTTTTGTATGAAAGGTTCATGAAGAATTTTTTTGTTAATGATGAAGCTAGCAATAGACTAGCATTTTTTTTTCTTATGATGGAAAATAAAATAAACCAATAAATTAAAAAGGTCAAGGACCTACTAAGGCCAATTGGCTATCTTATGTTTCGGAGTCGTTTCTACATGATTTTTTTTATCTTTGTGTGTTTAATTTTATTATGTGGTGCACACATTTATTTATTGTGATATTAATATAGGTTAATCTAGAAGGAGAAAGACTAACTTTATTCCAATGACGGACTCCGTTTTTTTGCTAGCTAATGATGTATCCATTTTTTTGTTCACGATTTGGTTTTTTCGCAAGTAATATTTATTTATGTTGAACCCGACTTTATTCATTTTTTTGTGATTATTTTGTGGGTTTTTTTTATACGCTATTTCATTGAGAATTTAAATTCAAATATTATGAAATTTAGATCTTCCTTCCCGAATTTTAGATTATTGTGAATGAAATTTAGATTACCGAAAAGTGACAAATATACTACTATAGATAAGATATCAATGGCCATAAAAAGCTCCAATCTTTAACATAGACAAGCATGAAAAAGCAAATAGGCTACTTATTTACTTGTGATTTGAAGAGGAATTGACATGGTCTTCTAATATTTAAGTGAATGGAGAAGGATTTTAATATTCAGCCCTCAACTCTACACCATTGTTGTGTTGCGGACATGTTAGGGAGAGTTGGTGGGGTGGTTGAAGCTTATGAGTTTGTTGAACAATTTGGTGAAGTCGGCAATGTGTTGAAAATTTAGGGATCACTTCTTGGGCTTGCGGACTCCATGGACACATTGAATTGGGAGAAGTGGTTGCAAAGAAGTCGCTTGAAATGGAGAAAGTACGCAACATGGCAGTGGTATCATGTTTTGATGTCCAATATATATGATGACGAAAGAAACTAGGTAAATGTTGATAAAGTAAGGAAAAATATGAGGGAAAAGGGTTTGAAAAAGGAAGTTGGCTCCAGTTGGATTGATATCGGAGGTTCCGTGGCCCAATTTGTGTCGAAAGATGAAGACCACTCTAAGTTGGATTGAAACATCTTTTATGTTACTCGTTTGAAACATCTTTTATGTTTTTTATTTTTTAAAAATTATTATATTAAATATTTATTATAGCACTTAATTAAAAAGATGACATGTATGCCTACATGGCAAAACTACCTTTTTTTATAAACAAGATTTAAAATACCTTATTTTAGAAAAATAGATTAAAAAGTACCATATTTAAGGAAAAAACTCCTGGAAGGAGCCTATGTCCATCTAGCCTTTAAACCGAATCGAACCTCGCAAAACTATTATACAAAATAATTTTAAAAGAAGAGATTAACATGTGACGATAAAGCATTTATTTAACAAAATAATTTTTTTAAAAAAACTAACATGTCAAGTTATATAAATGAGATGGCTCATATGTGGCATAAAGTACCTTATTTTGATAAATAAATTTAAAACTATCCTATTATGATAAATAAGATTTTAAAGTGCCTTGTTATGAAAAAAAACTCCTCCTTCCAGGATCGTATTTCGTTAGGTCTTCGACTCGCTCGTAGCATAGATCGATACTCTCTATATGTGGTCGATTGATTATTTTTTTAGCTCAACCGAGCTACTACGATTGCCATTTTATTTTTACAAATCGCATACTTGCTCGGTTGCATCTAATAAGGAGAAATTACCATTACACAAGATATAGTTTTAGATTTTGCTTACCTAAACCCAACAAAAATCGAACAACATTATTGTCATAATCGAATTTTTCTTTACCAGTTCAAAGGTTCCTCTTTTTTGAAAATTATACGACAGATGGCAATGCTTTGTATGGTATTGTAGTTTGTACATATTAGGTTTCTTGACTCCATTTTTTTGCTAGCTAATGATGTATCCATTTTTTTGTTCCCGATTTGGTTTTTTTCGTAAGTAATATCTATTTGTGCTAAACTCGACTTTATTCATTTTTTATGATTATTTTGTGGGTTTTTTTTATACGCTATTTCATTGAGAATTTAAATTCAAATATTATGAAATTTAGATCTTCCTTTCGAATTTCAAATTATTGTGAATAAAATTTAGATTACCGAAAAGTGACAAATATACTACTATAGATAAGATACCAATGGCTATAAAAAGCTCCAATCTTTAACATAGACAAGCATGGAAAAGCAAATGGGCTACTTATTTACTTGTGATTTGAAGAGGAATTGACCTCGTCTTCCAATATTTAAGTGAATGGAGAAGGATTTTAAGATTCAGCCCTCAACTTTGCACCATTGTTGCGTTGCATAAATGTTAGGGAGAGTTGGTGGGGTGGTTGAAGCTTATGAGTTTGTTGAACAATTTGGTGAAGCTCGGCAATGTGTTAGAAATTTGGAGATCACTTCTGGGCTTGCGGACTCCATGGACATGTTGAATTGGGAGAAGTGGTTGCAAAGAAGTCGCTTGAAATGGAGAAAGTACGTAACATGGCAAGGTATCATGTTTTGATGTCCAATATATATGCCGATGAAAGAAATTGGGTAAATGTTGATAAAGTAAGGAAAAAGATGAGGGAAAAGGGTTTACAAAAGGAAGTTGGCTCCAGTTGGATTGATATCGGAGGTTCTATGGCCCGATTTGTGTCGAAACATCAAGACCACCCTTAGTTGGATTGAAACATCTTTTATGTTTTTAATTTTTTTAAAAATTATTATATTAAATATGTATTATAACACTTAATTAAAAAGATGACATGTATGCCTACATGGCAAAACTATCCTTTTTTTATAAATAAGATTTAAAATACCTTATTTTAATTTTAAAAAATAGATTAAAAATACCCTATTTAAAGAAAAAAACTCCTGGAAGGAGCCTACGCCCATCTAGCCTTTAAACCGAATCGAATATGCAAAACTATTATAAAAAATAATTTAAAAAGAGGAGATTAACATGTGATGATAAAATATTTATTTAACAAAATAATTAAAAAAAACTAACATGTCAAGTTATATAAATAAGATGGCTCCTATGTGGCATAAAGTACCTTATTTTGATAAATAAATTTAAAACTATCCTATTATGATAAATAAGATTTAAAAGTGTCTTGTTGTGAAAAAAACTCCTCCTTCCAATATTGCATTTCGTTGGGTCTTCGACTCGTCTCGTAGCTTAAATCGATACTCTCTATATGTGGTTAGATTGATTATTTTTTTAGCTCAACCAGTGCCTATGATTGCCATTTTATTTTTACAAATCACATATTTGCTCGGTTGCATCCAATAAGAAGAAATTACCATTACAGAGGATATAGTTTTAGATTTTGCTTACCCGAACCCAACAAAAATCGAACTACATTATTGTCATCATCGAATTTTTCTTTACCAATTCAAGGGTTCCTTTTGTTTGAAAATTATACAACAGTGGCAATCCTTTGTATGGTATTGTAGTTTGTACATATTAGGTCTCTTGACTCCATTTGTTTGCTAGCTAATGATGTATCTATTTTTTTGTTCACGATTTGGTTTTTTCGCAAGTAATATTTATTTGTGCTTGAACCCGACTTTATTCATTTTTTGTGATTATTTTATGGTTTTTTTATATACGCTATTTCATTGAGAATTTAAATTCAAATATTATGAAATTTAGATCTTCCATCTTGAATTTCGGATTATTGTTAATGAAATTTAGATTATTGAAAAGTGACAAATATACTACTATAGATAAGATACCAATGGCCATAAAAAGCTCAAATCTTTAACATAGACAAGCATGGAAAAAACAAATGGGCTACTTATTTACTTGTGATTTAAAGAGGAATTGACCTGGTCTTTTAAAATTTAAGTCAATGGAGAAGGATTTTAAGATTCAGCCCTCAACTCGCACCATTGTTACGTTGCAAACATGTCGGGGAGAGTTGGTGGGGATGGTTGAAGCTTATGAGTTTGCGAAACAATTGGGTGAAGTCGGCAATGTGTTGAAAATTCAAGGATCACTTCTTGGGCTTGTAGACTCCATAGACACGTTGAATTGGGAGAAGTCATTGCAAAGAAGTCGCTTGAAATGGAGAAAGTACGCAACATTGCAAGGTATCATGTTTTGGTGTCCAATATGTATGCTGATGAAAGAAACTGGGTAAATGTTGATAAAGTAAGGAAAAAGGGTTTGCAAAAGGAAGTTGGCTCGAGTTTGATTGATATCGGAGGTTCCGTGGCTCGATTTGTGTCGAAAGATCAAGACCACCCTCGGTTGGATTGAAATATCTTTTATGTTTTTAATTTTTTTTTAAATTATTATATTAAATATGTATTATAGCACTTAATTAAAAAGATGACATATATGTCTACATGGCAAAACTATCCTTTTTTTTTATAAATAAGATTTAAAATATCTTATTTTAGAAAAATAGATTAAAAAGTATCATATTTAAGGAAAAAACTCCTGGAATGAGCCTACGTCCATCTAGCCTTTAAACCGAATCGAACCTCGCAAAACTATTATGCAAAATAATTTTAAAAGAAGAGATTAACATATAATGATAAAATATTTATTTAACAAAATAATTTTTTAAAAAAACTGATATGTCAAGTTATATAAATGAAATAGCTTCTATTAGATATAAAGTATCTTATTTTAATAAATAAATTTAAAATTATATTTTTATGATAAATAAGATTTAAAAATATCTTATTATGAAAAAAAAAACTTTGGTAGCTAAGACCAAGACAGCGACGGCAAATAAAACAAAAAAGCGAAGAAAACATCGCCTAAGCCGAAAACAAACCTCAGTGAAGTCACGCTAGGAGGGTCATCCAGGCCCGCGTAACGGAATCACTCCCACTGTAGTGTCTCCACGCGCTCAACTAGGGCGTGGACTTTATGACATGTGAGAAATTCAAAAGACAGCACAAAAGAACACGATTTACAAACTACGAGAACTTACTGTCAGGGGACAAAAAGTCTTACAACGAGAAGTTCTAACGTTACTTTGCAGTCACCTAACTACCTCACCCGCAGATTTTTCCTCGATATGGTGGGGGGGTTGATTTTCCAGAAGAGAATAATTATGGCCATGGCATATTAACAATCAACCTCCATTTTTTTTTTGGTGAAACCGTAATGACCGTACCGGAGGCAACAGTATTGTAAGTTACTATAAATCCCAATTTCAGAAGTGAATAATAATCACACACAGAATTTCAGGTGGGTTATTTTCCTTGATCACTCAACTATTGCTTAAAAAATTACAACGGGACAAATCTCGCTTGATGCTGACCAAATTCTTATCACTACACCAAACATATAATATAACTTGTCACGATTACATAAAATTTAGTAAACAAATAATAATTTACTAGTTAAGTTTTTATTTGAAATGCCCATATTTGTAAGGATAAATTGCAATAATTTTTTGAGGAATTGTAAGACTAAACAGACCACCCAAAAATTTAGAAAAATTAGCTAGCTCCTTCTTAAGGCGTCATTTGTTTAAACCGAACGATTCTCTCTCCCACAACCTCTGTCATGAGCTTATTTTGTTCTTTCCGAAGATTAGACAACTTCTTCTGATCCTCTTAAGCTTGGAGCTTGTAACCATTCAACAGAGATTTTAAATTCTCCGAGCTATCTTCCAAAACAGTGCGATCAACTTCAAATTATTCTTTAACTAATCCTACAGTGAAGCCACTTGGCGTTGAGGGTGTAGGATTGCTCCTTTAGCAATGCTTGACGGTTGAGCATATTAAAAACATGAAAGGCACCTAAAAATAATAAAAATAAGAGACATGTAAAAAAGAAAAGAAAGAATCTGAAACAATAACAGCAAAAATAGAAGGAGGAAAGTAATAGGGTAATGCACTTTCCTATGTTGGTGCTCAGCTCAAATTGCATTTGGTGTTGTATGCCAAACCTGTTAAGAAACGAATCAAGCAAAAAACATAAAATAAAAAGACAAACAATCACGCACCACAAAAATTTACATGGTTTAATAATTATGTGTACTCTACGATTCTACTAGGATTTCTAATCAAGTTTTTATTAAGTGGCGGCTTACAAATACAAAAAATATTATCTAAATTTATAGAATTGACAACTAAGGTTATAATAAAAAAGGTCTTACGGACCTATATACCCAACTTAATATTCGTAAACCTTTCAAGAGCTCGCTCCTAAGCTTTTGTAAGGGACACCGACATCTTGCCTCCACTCGCATAGCGCTCTAAAATGCGAATCACGTCCACATCAATCTCTACAACTTAACGAACAATTCCCGAGAAGAAAAGCTCGAGAAAGAAATCACAAGGCAATTTAGTGCTCTCTCACCATGTCGACGAGTCGACAAATCTCATAAAGGGATGAAGGATTTGTTTATGCCTTTACCCTTACACTTATCAAAAGAAGGAGGAGGAAGAGCGAGTTATGGGAACTTATTGTTGAATTTTAGATTTCCTATGTAACTTGAAAGACTCACCACTTGATCGTTTGTGTGTAGAGGCCATGGTAATACAATCAACTAATACTACATGATCTTCGTACCAACCACTCATAGAGAAAATGGAGGAATCGAATATCATATCTACAATAGTACACACACACACATAGTAAATGATCAACTAAGAAGAGGGGAAAATGACGATAGAGAGAGGGTATACCCTCTTGGCTATATCGATAGATCAAGTGTATTCGGATACCGACCAAATCATGTTAGATACCCTATAGCCATATGGACGAGCAAGATTGAAAAAGCGAATCTCACCTCTTCTCTCACTCAATTCAACTCGTTTGTTTTTCAATAGGAGTTAACATACACTTCTTATTAAAACTTTTTATTTTTGAGATCCTTCATGACTAAAGGAAATGACCATTTTCATTGAGTTGATGAATGTAAAAATGGTTGGTTTTTCAAAACTTTAGGGACTCGAGAATCTTGGTAAGAGTAAATTTACCTTTTCCATTTTGAGCTTGAAAATAAAAAGAACTAGGGTGGTTTCTCACACTAGCCGGTTAATAGAAATGACAAATAAGGAAAAATAAATGGATTTGATTGAGATAGTGACAAAAAGAATGACCTAAAAAAAGAGGCGCTAGAAATTAGGAGCAGATTTAGAAGAGATAAGCTCATACTTAAACAAAAACTTGGTCACTAAAGGATGAAAAGGGAAACAAATCCTAGCCTCGAGGATCTCCTTGTAAAGGGAAAGGACATCATCCTTAAAATTTTCTAGTTTATTTAAGGTTTCAAAAGGAGTGATAAATGTATGATTATCGGGAATGGAAAACAAAATTCTAAACAATTTATTCCATTGGTTAAACATGAACAAAATATGGGCATGTAGTCCACCAAAACACATAGACAAAGGTGAAAAGGATGCGCGCGTAAAATATACTTAGAGACTCGTACATATGAGAAGACTTATTGCTATTGTTTAAGTGATCGGAGGATGAAAAAAGGAGAATTAGAAGAAACAATAAATTAGGTGACATTATTTGTTGGCTTGTCATTTACAATGCCTAGATAGTGAATGGGTTTAGCGAGGATAAGGACTTCACTATCCAAAAGAATTCCGTAAAACATCTAAATTACCATCAAATGAATGTACAAGAGGAGATAGGGAAAATTAAGAGTATAGAGGTCTAAATCTAAGTCCTTTAGACCAATAGTATTTTTTTCAAAGATCATCCATTTGTTAAAAGAAAGGAAGAAAGAAAGAAATGCGTCCTATTAAAGAAGGATGCTTGCAAAGAGAAAGAATAGAATTTAAAAAAAAAAGTGAAATGGAAAAAAAATATATCAAAATGAGCGAATTACAAGATGAACTAGAAAAAGGAAACCAAAAAAAAAAAAAAAACAAGGAATAAAGAAAATGAACAAAGAAGGAGAATTGAGCTATATAAAGAAAATCGAAGTGTAATTATGATTGAAAAGAAAACGAGAAAGACCTTTCTTTTTATCATTCATAAACATCGACGCTACATTCATAACATGTGCTCGAAAACAAAATAAACAGAAAAGCAATGACTATACATATATGAAAAATCTATCGTTCAAAGGGGACTAATGATATATGTATATACATTAAAGAGCTTATAGCTTAGTGATAATCGTCTCTTGCAATAAGAAGTCAAGAGTTCAAATCATGGTATATTGTTCGTTAGAAGTTTTGAATGTGTGAGTTAATATATATATATATATCACTACTCTTAGTAAAAGACATCAGTATTCTTGAAAATGACATTTAAAATAAGCCCAGGGAACAAATAATATATAATGAGATATTTATAAAAGTAGGAATAGAATAATATACGTACATGAACAAACCAAAAAATATTATTATTACATAGAACGAAATTTACTCAGTAATTGAAGGGACTGATCGAAATGACTTCTAATTTAGCCTTGTGTTTGCAGGAATTTAAGGGATTAGAATAATGTCAAATGCATCAACAGAATCTATCATTTGCACTTGAACGAATTCATTAGGAAATCTTTTTTTAACGAGACCTCTATTAGAATATAGAAAACAACAAGACTAAATAGTCCAAATCTCTCATGAACTTTAAATTATTTGAGAATTAGTCTCTCAATTTTTAATTTTAGATTGGATTTTTCTTTAATTATTTTTCATTTGAAATTTTAATTTTAATTTTTTTTGTTAAGTTTTCAGTTGTTATACCGATAAAAATATACGTGACTTTCATACAGTTGACTTTTTAATTTTTCAAATAGTTAAAAAAGTATCAAAAGTTATAAACACTTTTTTTTTTTTCAAAACTTATTATTTTTCCTTCTAAAATGCTCTTCAATTGCTTCCTTTCAACAATTAGAATGTAAGAAACTAGTTTTAAAAGAAAAAGCTATCTACAAGTTTTTGCATGTTTTTAACCATCGAATAATTTATATTTACATGATATAATCCATAAAAATTTAACAAAATAACCTAATCTCAAATAAAAAAAATAGTCGAAAGAAAATCTAATTTATAATTAGAATTTAAGAATCTGATTCTCACGTGACTTAAATTCAAGAAAACAGTTTGCAACGTTTGACCAAATAACAACACGAACAGTAGATTATTTTTACGACTTAAGCTGAGCCTTCATTTAATAATTTGATAATAAAATAATAGGATGTGTGATGCATAGCCACGAAGTCTGCTATGGGAATGCTGTCACAACAGAAAAGCACAGTCCAAACTCAAGAACTCCCTTTGGAAGAAAGTAAACTACCAACCTGACAAATAAAAGCACAGTTACAAACATCCAGTTAAAGAGAAGGGGGAAAAAAAAACAAAACAAAACAAAATAGAAACCCCATTAGAAGCACTGTCACAGTAGTTTCAAAGAGAAAGGGTTACAGGGAGAAATGGAACAAAATTTACTAGAGGGGAGACCAAATGAAGAAGAAGCAACTCATCAAGAACAAGAAAATGGGAGTTTTAGAATGGAGTCCTTAGGGAGGTGCTTGAGCAGCTTTGTCGATGAAGGTAGCACAGAGAGCCACAGATATTATCTCTCAAGAAGAACTGTGCTTGAGATGTTAAAAGATAGAGGTTATTCTGTTCCAAGTGCAGAGATTGACCTGTCTTTGCAAGACTTTAGAGGCATTTATGGCCAAAACCCTGATATTGAACTCCTCAAATTTTCTGCCACTCATGTGTCAGATCCTTCAAAAAGGGTATGTTGATTCTAGGGTTTGTTGGTTTTTGGTTTTTTCATTTCTTGTTTGGTTACTGAGAGAATTGTGCAGAAAAGAGAGAGTTTTTTGTATTTTGGGCTTGCAGTTTGAATGACTTTAATAGGCCCAGTTTTCGAGTGGAGCTTTAGAATGCTTGATTTTAAGCAATGGATAACTATTTTGAAATCATCTTTTCTTATTTTTGTGACTTTTTGTTTGGAAATAGAGGAGCTCAGTATTTCCCTTTTCCCTTTCTTATTTTTGGTGGGTGTATTGGAATTTGTATCAGTAGATGAGATCAATCACTGCATGTGCATTGGTCTCCTTTATCTGCATTCAAGCTAACTTAGAAGTGTAGTTTATGAATCATGCATGTGGTGCAAAACCATGATTGAAGCTGTTCAGAATAAGTAGCCTATAATCTAAAATAAAACCGAATGCAATTGACTAAGATAGATGGTGAAATAATAAATTTTCCTGTTGGAATAGTATTTTCTGAATTGTGGCTACAAAATTATGAGATGGAAGTTTTATATCACACAAGTTTTTTTATTGTAGGAGTTAGTTAATGCAATTTCTGGCTATTTGGATTGCAGATGATGGTGATATTCTGTGGCCCTAGGGTGGTTAAAGTCAGCACGATTCGTCTTGTTACGGTTCTGATTCCTGACAGAGACAGTTTAACTGGTCTGATATTAGTCTTGCAAAACAACATAACTAACCAAGCTATGAAAGCTCTAGACCTTTTCAAATTTAAGATTGAAATATTCCAGGTGTGTCTCTTGTGTAATTGTTCTTATTTTCATGCTTTACATATCTAGATGTTATAAAGAAAAGGCAAAAAGGCCACAAACTTGGCAATGGCCCTTATTCTTCTTTTTGCATGAAGTGTTTATTTTGATGTCTGGGATCTGCATTATCTCTGTTCCAAGCCCAGGACACTTAATATTGGACTTGGCTTCTTCTTTTTGTATTAATTTCATTATGCCATTTCTTTATTGTTCTACTGGATGATATGAAGAAGCATGCAACTCCAGTTTTAGGTTGTCTTTCGAACCGGACATCAGATGTCTTTGTTAGAGGTGTCTTGAAGTCATAATGTTATGTGTCTTGGGGTTCTTATCCTCATTCACCATGGGTTATGGATGCTACCTGCTTTAGGTTGTAATTTTGCAAATTGGATGTGGCCCCATTTTCCGATTTTCTTTTGTTGGAGAGAGATCGAAACGTTCTTAATTGAGTGCTAATTGAGAGTGTTGATTATGAGAATGAACAATGATGGAAATTTTGCTTTATTGCATTCTGTTTATTTTCAACTGGGGGCATTTCACTTACTGCTGTGAAGGAAATTTTAGTTATGCCCTCTTGATAACTCTTCATAATTTCTTGTTTCAACTAAATGAAAACTGGTATGTTGAATTGTATTGCTTTGAGAATCATGGGGCCATGAGCATGTGTAAATTAAATGAACTGTTAGGAAGCAATCAAATTCCTAAATCATTTTGACAAAGTTCAGCTGTTGTTTTGGTTTATTACTGTTGGAAGCTGTTTTGGTAAAACGCGCTCAGCAGTTTGTAAGTTATTGACAGAGCCATGCAACAACAAAACAGATTAGAATGCACCCTTGTTAGGGTTTAGAACTGAACATGTAGGAGTTATACTTGAAGATCAATATTGTTCAAAACAAATACTTTAACTTTCCCTTTTTTAAAATCAACATAGATTCCTGTTTTAGGTTACTGTATGCCAAAAATTGATTAACTTGGGAATTTTGTCGTACTTAATTTAGTGCAGTCCCTTACTTAAGGACATGGACTGGTTGAACTCAAATTTAGACTGCAATTGCTGACCTTCATATAGCTTTTGGTGATAAGTAACTTGTATGCTGAATTTTTTTTTTTTTTTGTGTTCTGGTCACAAAGTTCTCCGGTTAATGCTCCACTGATAACGACTTGGTTTTGTTCCCAGATAACAGACTTGCTTGTTAATATCACAAAGCATATATTAAAGCCAAAGCATCAGGTGCTAAGTGAGCAGGCAAAACAAAGGCTCCTGAAGCAGTACAGTATAGAAGAAAAGCAGGTCAGCTTTTACTTTTAAACCCAAGAAAAGCTACAAAGGAAGTCTCCTGGAATATAATTCTTGTTTGCTTACTTGTTACGGTTCTGTTTCTTAAATACTAACATGTTGACTATTTGTCTTTACTGATTAGATGAACGTTACCACAAGGATATTATAAAATAATAATTTGAGCAAAAAAGGCCCTAATTGATAAAATATGATCGACTGAATCTCTGCTGCATTGTAGTTGTTTATGCATTGATATAATAGATCCTAGTTGTACTTACTTGATTAGTGAAATGATATGGTTATTCTCAGAAGTATTTTCCCTAGCTGCCTGATTAATGATGTGATGTGAGTTTCAATGTTAAATAGTAAACCCTTATACGTTTGTGTCTATAGTGGTTAATGTTTAGATATATGGTTTTTTTACAACACAGTCAAGCCATTATTTGACCTCTGAGCATCATTCACTTCTCATTTCTTTAACCGCCTCCTAGGTTTCTAGTCTCAATTTTCCTCAGAATCTCCATTTCCTGTTATGTGACAGCTTCCTCGACTGTTGAAGAAAGATGCAATTGCACGATACTATGGACTTGAGAGAGGACAGGTGGTGAAGGTCACCTATGATAGTGATATTACCAGGTCACATGTAACTTACCGTTGTGTGTGGTGATGTAATATGTTATACTCACACTGCATCTTACTGTGGTTGTTGTAGAATCTGTGATATGTTATTGTATGTTATTCCTGCTTATGTTATGGATACCTTTCAATGACATTCTATCATTGCTAGTGTGCAGCAACCTTATCTTCTCATCTCTTTCTTTCTCTTTGGTTCTTAGAATGAGGCATAACTTAAGGGTAACTTAAGGGCAAGCCTGTTGCAATATCGAGATAGATAAAGCAGAGGGAAAGCTTGAAATTGCTTTCCTATTAATATCTTGGATATCTTCCAGTTTGGTCCCTAAATAGGATGGATTCTGGTCTCGCCTTCAAAAGCTCTGAACCTTCTGCAGAGAATGAGGTTCAGCTAAGCAAAACAAATCAGGAGACAAAGCAAAAACCTGCAGTAGCTGTATGCCTTGATCGGTTTTGAATTGACAAGTCACTGTATGCGTTGATTGGTTTTGAATTGACAAGTTACGAAAAGTTATTAGTTTAAATCAAATTATTGCTTACAAAACTAAATGTAATTCATTAATAATACATCTTGCAATATGGGTGAATCAAGACGAGTACCCTACATTTCACTAGAGAAATGAGCTTCAATTTTGGTACACTTAAAGCCATCAATTGTGATTAACTTTTACAGTGTTTTATAATTTGTCAATCAAATGAATATGCAACGATTACATGAATCCTTCAATGTTAGTCAAAATTACATAAATTTCCATGAAGTTTTGGTTATCTAAGTTGATGAAAAACCTTCTTCAACTACAAAATCATTATTTGGTACAGGTCCTGCCTTCTTCATTTCTGCATGAAGATCATGGACTAAAGAATAAATAAGATTATATTGATAATGAGACTTGTCACGAGCTAAAAATACGTCAACCCTGTTTCCAACTCCAATCCAACTGCAACCAGGTTGCTTCTTCAATCCCTTTTCTTTCATTTCCGACCTCACTCCAGAGGCTTCTCTCCATTTCCCACCAGAAGCATATATGTTAGACAACGATAAATATGTGCCTGCATTCTCTGCATCCTCCTTTACAAGCTCTTTTGCAGCCAGCGGCCCTATTTCCAGATCCCCATGGACATGACATCCAGCAAGTAGACCACCCCAAACACAGGATGATGCCTTGGTCCCTAGCTGCTTAACCAAATCATAGGCCTCATTGAGCCTCCCTGCTCTGCCATATAAATTCACCAAACATGCATAATGATCTTCTCTTAATTGCACGGACTTGTCTCTCTCAAGCTCGTTAAAGTAGTTTAGTCCCTCATCCACCAAACCACCATGGCTGCAAGCAGAGAGCAACCCCACATAGCTAACATCGTTAGGCTTAAACCCTAAACCCTGCATTTCCTTGAACAATTCAATTGCCTCCCTTCCACGTCCATGATGTGCATAGGCTGCAATCATACCATTCCACAAAACCAAATCCCTCTGGCTTATCGCTACATCATCAAATATCTTCATTGCAATACTCAACTCCCCACATTTTGAGTACATATTCAAGAGTGCAGATGCAACGAATGCCCTATCCTGATAAACACTTTTACTAATCACCTGATGAACTTGCTGCCCTTCACCAAGACCAGCCAAGTCACTGCAAGCTCCCAAAACATTAACAAAGGTCCCCTCATTAGGCTTGGCTCCGCCATCCCTTATCATTTCCATAAAAACCTTCAATGCTGCTTCACTTTCTCCCTCTTGAACATACCCAGTAATCATTGTAGTCCATGAAACAACATTCTTATCAGGCATCTCATTGAACACCTTCCTTGCCCTTGCTAACTCTCCATTCTGAATAAACCCTGTGATCATCGTGTTCCATGAGGGCAAATCCCTTTCAGGCATCCTCTCAAACAAATCAAAGGCCTCATCCAACCTCATATTCTTGGCGTAACCAGTAATCATTGCATTCCACGACACAACATTTCTCTCCGGCATCCTATCAAAAACCTCTCTAGCCTCATCAACTCTCCCACTCCTCGCCAACACCGTAACCATAGCCGTCCATGAAACCACATCCCGTTCAGGAATATCATCAAACCACCTCCTAGCCTCCTCCACCCTTCCGCATTGAACCAATGCAGCAATCACCGTATTCCAAGAAACCACATTTCTCTCAGGCATCCTCTCAAACACCTCAATAGCCTTATGTATCTCCCCATTTTGCGCATAACCATCAATCATCGTATTCCAGGAAACAACATTTTTCACTGGCATTACCTCAAACAACCTCTCAGCATCCTTAATCCTCTTCCACCTCACATACCCACTTAACAACGCAGTCCAAGTGACCACATTTTTAATTGCATCAATTCTATCAAAAAACCTCCTTGCTTCCACAATCAACCCACACTTTATATACCCTGTGATCACTGCTGTCCATGTAATTACATCTCTTTCAGGCATTTTATCAAACACTTCACAAGCGTCACTGATTCTCCCCTCCCTACTCAACCTCGTGATCAGCCAGTTAGACCGTGCTATATCAGAATTGCGACTGCAATCTCTATTGGGCATTGAAATTTTGCTTGAATGAAAGAGACTACACAGTATTAAGGGCAGTTCATTACTTTTGCTTGAATAGGACAAAGAGTTTGATATTTTGAACAGTAATTGCATTTCATAACACCCAACGACCCCGACAGGCTCCGACGTTTAAGTTTTTTTGTCAGAGACAAAAGGGTTGGGAGAGATGAGTTGCGAATGCTGTTAAAATCGATCCTTACTGTAATAATTATATGTTAATTTTTTTATTTTATTGAGAAAAAACAGTTTACGCTTTGCCATACAATCTTAGTCCTCCACAGAGCCATCCTCCATGGTATTCACACGTGTTTTTTTCCTTTTTTTTATTTTTTTTGGAAGAACTTTATTTTGAGAACTTTTGTTTGTATCAATTTGCTAAATTAAATTTTGTATAAATGATTTAATAAAGCGGATCTTATATTCGTTATATTTAGATAATTCGATCCAAATATCCTCGATTTTTAACATACATAAAAAAATAAAAAGTTCATAGAGGAAAGTAAATTTATTTATTAAATAAGGAGTCTAAATTAAAATTAAGCTTCTTCTTCTTCTTTTTTAAATATATGATATGAGGTGTGAGATTGTGAGCGAGTCGCATACAGATTTTGCACCAGTTTTATTTTATTTTTTTAATTTTTTAACATATATATATATTTTTTTTTCTTTTTTTACAAATAGAATATGATATTTAGTCAAAATTCGGTGCCATATGGTTAATATTTGTTACATCGATAATTTTTTTTAATGTTTGCTAAGAACTAAAAATAATTGTATCAAATTGTTTAAATATCGCTAAATTACTTACTTAAGAGTTCAGTTTACTGATTCAATACAAACACACAGTCTCGAAATGGAAATTTTCTCCTTTTTTTTCCCCCTAATGTGAGATTCAAGGGACTTTTGGTTACATATATGGAATTTATTTCTTCTTGCGATGACAAGAAGAAAAAAACAAATCATACTAGGTATGCTGATCATAAGAACCCTTAAATTGTGCTAAAATGAGATAAGTTTCTGAGATGGGAAATCGCAAAGCCCATCAGCAAATAGTAAACAAGGGGAGAATCCACGTAGAACAATGGTGGAACAAAACCAATTTTTAGAGGGACCATTAATGAAAAATTGGCTTTTAAATGGGATTTAATTGTATATTATCAATAAAAGGAGCCAAAAATATAAATTAACCCTATCTAAAATCTTAGGCTAGGGATGGCCGTCTCCTCTCTTCAATCACCTACAGAAATCGAACTCTGAAGATCAGTAGCTTCAAGAGATTAAAAAGAAGAATGCAATTGATCCTTTAATGTGTTCTGATTTTGTCAACACATAACTAACAATCTCAAAAATGAGAAGAAAAATATATAATGCATGCATTTTTTATCAATCTCATTTAAACACTAATATATTTTGGTCTAGTGATAATGAATTTTTTGCACTTATAAAAAATGAACGGTTCAAATCTTTTTTTTATAGTAATACGATTTTCTTCTATAGTCCGTTAATTATTAACTATTAATGTTAATCTCTTAACATCTAACAACTGATGTAACGGTAGCATTTTATTTATGAGGAAAAAAGAAAAAAAAGGGCATCATGAATGCTTCAACTCTACAATCACATCAATCATAAAATGGAATTTTTTTGTGATGCTTCACACAAAACGGAAGAACTTGGGACTAGCTAGAGGTGAAACATTCCATAATAACATAATCAAAACTCTCTCACTAGCTAATTATTACGCCTTGAATGCGCTTGCTTCTAAGGTATTCTGTTTCCTATCACCAACAGTGAATATGATTAAGTCAAGGTTTGTGCAAAAACCATTTTAGAATGATTTAGACTTAGCCCAAATTCTGAATTTTAGAGAACATAATTTATCAGAATTCTGCTTTGCAATAACGTGGGATGGCAATGGTTAGCATACACATATAGCTTTCATGGAATAGATTAAGGAAACGTATCTTGTTAGTACTTTCATCATCCCAACAACAAGTAGCATTCCTAAAGAAACTGTAATTAATAAGAACTGTGTGGCCATTCAAATGATTCTTGCGAACTTTTCTGCTACATGTCGAGCTACAGCAAGGCCAATCTAGACAAAGCAAGCACACAAGTTAAATGTACAATTGGATGGTTGAGTCATTCTGCATCGATTGTGAAAAGAGCTGGGTGTTTAATAATAAGCATTAGGAAAAGCTTCACTCATTGAGCTAGCTTTTTGGACGGAGAAAGGCCAATAGCACCCAACACTATTATCAAAACTTAGCTTAAACAAGTCTACATGCGCTAATGTTCGATGTATGAAAAGAGAGATTGTTGGGTTATATCACATTGGTTTTAGAAGGAGTTGTGGTTATAAGTATGAAAGAAAAATGAGTTATCCCACATCGGTTGTGGAATGAACTATAGTTATAAGTATGAAAACTTAGGTTAAACAATTCTCCATGCGTTGGTGTTCGATGTATGAAAAGAGAGATTATTGAGTCATGTCACATTGGTTGTAGAAGGAGTTGTGGTTATAGGTATGAAGAAAAATGAGTTATCCCACATCGGCTGTGGAATGAACTATGGTTATAAGTATGAAAACTTGGGTTAAACAATTCTTCAGGTGCTGGTGTTCAATGTATGAAAAGAGAGATTGTTGGGTCTTGTCACATTGGTTGTGGAAGGAGTTGTGGTTACAAGTAAGAAGAAAAATGAGTTATCCCACATCGGTTGTGGGATGAGCTATGGTTATAAGTATGAAGAAAAATCTCTCTTTATAAACTAGTTTTTGGGATTGAAAAAGTCCAGTAGCACCCAACATGAATAAATGTTAGCCATTAGAAACATCTGACTCCATAGAGCTTATTGCATAATTAAGACGATCAAACAGCTCTATATCAACAAGAATCCTCTATCCAAAAAAGACACTGAGCATTTTCAATATCATTGGCATTCATCACATAAACTTCTCAATCTTTTCTATTCAAATGCTTCGTAGCTAGTTTCCAAATATCGTAGCCTGTCCACATGCACCTCTATTAATCTTGAACTCTTTTTCAAGTATTAGTCATGTATTCATATCTTGAATTATCTGTCTGGCTATAAACACCGCACAAGTAGTGATGAGTTTGTGAACCTCAAAAGTTGAGCTGGCTTTTTCTTGACTGATATGTTTGTATAATTTGATGGTAAATAGAGACCAAACTAGTTAGAATACCATCAATACAAAGTTCCATTGGTTGTGTGGAGAATCCCCCAAAGGAACGATGTTCCTTGCTGATGTGGAATCAATTTTTCGGTAAATAAGAAAAAACTAGAACAGCTAAACCTAACAAATAGTGTCCATATCAACATGAAGAAGATCTCTACCCAGTGGAAGGACAACAATACAGTAGGCCATTTAATGGTTTTTGCATATTTGTGTGTGTTTGTGTGAATGAATTTCATTGACAGACAAACAAAAATAGGCGTGCCTTAAGTTCCATTTCTATAAGTGACACAGGTAGATACTGAACTCAAGATACTACTACATTTCTGATCTCTCATGCTTTGCACAAGCAAGGATAACTACATCATACAACCCTTCTTGCAGTGCCAACAAAGGACAAACTAAAATCAAACGTATCATTCATTGGTATATTACAGTGCTACCAATCTATATACAGTTCATGATCGCAATTGTTAAACCATTGATGCAATAGAAAAAACAACTGAAACATACACCTTTCAAATCTCACACCTTGCAGACATTTGTACTACAATTGCTGTCCGACAGAATTCAGTTCTCGAAAACTGTCTGAGTTACAGAGGATTGAGAGCTCCAACTTCTGCAGAATAGTTTCCTCTTGATCTTATACTTTATGTGGATATGATCTGCAAAAAGTCATTTTAAATGAGAGTTGCAATTCCAAGGTGTTTGAACTAAAACTCCAAGCATATTTGAAGAATTTCTTGCTTCGATAATACCCATCACTTTATTTCTGGCATCTTTGAAGTCAATCTAATCTATGAAGTAAAATAAGTAAGAGAGTTACCATTTGTTGTGGATAGCGTGAGAACCAAAGATTCAAGTATAAGCAGGATACAAGCTCGACAAGTAACTAGGAAGTAAGAACTCAAAGATCACATCTCTGGCATATGAACACCTTTCACTTTATTTACATATTTTGTCAAGGTAATGATTAATGAATGCCACTCTGTTTATGATTGCATTTTGTTCTGTGCACAACTTTGAAAGATTAACACTGAAAAGATGAACAGAACAATAGCCAATTAAGGCTTCAGACAAGCTATTTTGCAGGTGAACTTCATCATGCTTTTTTTTTTTTTTAACATGTATCATTACTGTCAAGTGCATGCCTAAATTGGACTAATACAAGTACCACAAACCAAATAATTTCTCACATTTGTTAAGATTGCCATAAAAGGCTGCAAAGATAGTTAAAAAGGAAGCTATAACTGGGTAATGAGGATCAGAAAAAACGTTGGATAGCATCAAACAAACCACAAGACCAAAAATGTCATGCAACTGTTCTAGGATGCAAAGGTCTGAAACCAACAAAAACCTGAAGCGATGGAAGAACAGTAAAACCACATCTGATACCAACCAAGTTATAAAAACCTAGCTTCATTCATATGTGATATGCTTCACTAGTAATCCATTGAAAACGGTAACAGCCCATTGTCAATAAAATGTCTAGAGAACTAGAACCGAAATCCTCAAAATTTGTAATATGGAAAGCAACAATTGAGCTACATGCTTACACCATATCTCAACTGAGCTTAAAGGATTGGAATGAGACCACAAACGTTCTGTGAAAACTTCTCAATTTGCTACTATCACCACCATGATACGGGAAAACCATAAACATGTAAATAACACAGATAAAATCTGCCAAATTTTGAAGTTCATTACCAGGCATATCAAAGGAGATGCACAGCAAAGATAACCAACACAATGTGTCAGATGAGACACCATCAGATCCTGTTGAGAACAAGGACATTTATGGGATGAGAAACCTGGTAAAAATATAATCACGAACAAAACCCACCTTTGTGCTGCTAGTTCTTCTCCCCCTACCCTGCCCCCAGACACACCCCCCACCCACCCACCCCCCCCACCACCACCACCACCACCCTTCCCCAAGTACAATGGGTCAACGAACAAATCAGTCTAACTTACAAATACATTCTAGTTTCACATTTTTGTCAAGTTCAGCTCTTTCCTTTGTCACACTCAAGGAAGTAATACCCCAAGCAAGTACTGAAAACTACATATGAACTATAAAAGGAGTCTCCTTTGTTGATCCTTATCATCAACAGTTTGCTAGACAACAAACACAAACATAGACTGAAAGCCATGCCACCGACAAGAAGAAGACAACCATGCATCCAACTGTTATTTATCAACAGAAACATGGAACTAAAGAAGCAATTGAATTAGAAGAAAAACATAAGCCGTTCAAGACTAAACAAAGAAAATAACACAAAACCACCAATATATTTTGATATTTTAAATTCCAAAAGTTAAGCAGTTGTGGTAGAATTTAACAAGAACCAGAAGACATCAGATTGAAACTGAACCCAATAAAGAAAAAAGAAAGATATTTGGGATGGTCAATACAGAAGCAGCAATTGGCAGGTTGAATTAGATAAGAGAAAAAGTTGCACTTACGCAAAAGATAAGGCAATAAATATGTCAAAAAGAGAGAATCACCTAATTTTGATCAGCCAACATGAAAAGGACCAATATCTCCAGTTCTAAGAGAACTAGCAAGCTCATCAGCAATACTCAAGCAAGAAGAAACCCATCCTACAAGAGCCATCCACACCACCTTTGACATCCATAAAGCCAAGCTCCATGGCATTGCCATTTCCCCTCTCTCTCCCTTTCTTGCTTTCTATCCTCTCCGAAGACACCAAGTCAGCTTTTAAGAGAGAAAAGCTAACCAGATTCGGTATCAGGATCAACCCTTTTGCCTGAAGTCAATAGTTTCGGAGGTGAAGTCAAAGAAAGAAATGAAGAGAATTAATAGTTTTTTTTTTTTTTTTAATGATTTTCTAGTTTTTTTTGGTGGAGGTTGAGAGTCGTGTAAGTTAGGACTTTGCTTTCATATGGGACATAGGTTTTGTGGCACACGGGTTACGATTGTTTTTTTTTTTTTTTAAAATATATATATATATATATATTTAAATGCTTTATCATGGATTACATAATCAACAATAATTTTTTTCCAGCATTATATATAAATAAGTAAACTGAAGTCTTTAGAATTCAATCCTGTTTTATTGAACAAAAAATCATCATATATAAAATCATTAACTTATTTGTATTTATATTAGTTATTTGTCAGTGTTACTGCTGCAGATCCGATATAAAGAAAATTATTTTAAAATTATAAATTTTTTTAATTAATTAATATTTTTTATAATTTTTTTAAAAAAACATAAATCATTCTTCTTTATGGATTGATTTTAAAATAAAAATATATAATAATTTTAATTAAAATATTAATTGAGAATTTAAAAAAAAAACTTTAAAAATATAATTTTTATAATATTATATTTCAAAAAAATTATTTAAAAGGTTTCATCATGGATTACATAATCAACAATAATTTTTTTTTCCAGCATTATATAATGCATAAGTAAACTGAAATCATTAGAATTCAATCCTGTTTTGTTGAACAAAAAATTATCATATAAAAAACCATTAATTTATTTGTATTTATATGTTACAATGAAAGCTAAATTGAGTCGTTTTAGACTAAAACTTGTTTCTCAAATCAAAAACACATGGCATGGCGTACAACGAATCAAATCTTTCTCAGCGAAGTTATTTATTTATTTATTTAAAGATAATCTTATCTCATACATTTAAGTAAAAAAAATTAAGATTTTTTTTAATTAAAATAAGCACAAACCCAACTAACAAAATTATGTAAAATTGACCATCTATAAAAGCTTTTACTGCTACATTACAAGGAGTCTAATTACAAATTTAAAGAATAAAAAAAATTAACTATATATATATTAAATATTTTTTGTTTTGCTTTTTAATTCATATTTATATTTATTTTGAATCGAAATAGTTTTGGATCGAAAATTTTAAAATCTAATAGAATCCTAGTTCTTTTCAAATTTTAGATCTAATTATATTTTTAAAATTTTGCAATTATTTTAGCAACGAGTAATGCACTATAAATATTGTTTAACCAATTCATGATTTAAGAAGAATGTATGAGATCATGAAAAAAAAAAAAAAAAAAACAAAACAAAACAAAATCCCGCACTACGCCCTTTATCCATCGGATTAGAAAAGTCTGGTTTGTTTGAGACGGGTCGGACAGATGGGTCGGATTGTCAACCAGACTAACCTTTCGGATTCCACAGACCAGCCTTTTTATTGGACCTTGTATCCACCCAGCCTGATTCTCTCTTTTAGTGGCCTGTTATATAATGGGCTAAGCCCACAAGTTTACACAAATTCCCGCTCCCTTCCATTTTCAATTCCCCATTCAAATTTTGCTCTCTATGTCTGTCTTCCGCTCTCCACCTGAAACCAAAAAAGATCCCAAAAGAGAAGAAGAGAACCTCTCTCTCTCTCTCTCTCTCTCTATCTCTAAGAATGGCACCTCATTTTTTATTTCCAGAGAATCTTAAATCCTTAGAAGAAGAAAACGAAGACAACCGTCTCTACGTTCTCAACCCAACCGACGTCGCTTCTCTTCGTCTTCCCGAACTCGAAGAATTCGTCAAAGGTCAGTTCTATCCTTACTCAATTCCGAAAATTACATCCATTTCCTCGGGTCTAGTTCGTTTTAAGTTCGGATTTATGGTTAAATTTTAAGTAAGTAGGAAGGTACGGGTTTGGTTTGGTTTTGTTTGTTTCTCGAGAAGCAGGAGAGTAGAAGAATTTTTTATATTTTAGCGAACGGTTAAGAATAGGGAAAATTAAGTCAATTTAGTTGTTCTGATGAGTCTTAGAATGAAATGGAAAGATTTTAAAAAAAAATGAAAATTTTTAATTTTTATAGAACTGGGTATCTTAAAAATGCAATTTAAATTGCTCAATTTCGACAGGCTTTAGTGATTAATTTTAAAAGGAACCTTCGAGTTGAAAATTTTCACTGTGAATTGATTTTTGGAGTTCTAATAGAAAAATGCAATTTTTAAGTGCTCAATTTTTTTTTTTTTGTGAATAGGTGTATCGTTTGACTTGTCGGATAAAGAGATATTCTGCATTGAAGAGCAAGAAGTGTTTGACCGCGTGTATTCATTAATTAACGGATTTTCTAGTCTAACCCCATCTGGTAAAGTCAATCTTGTGGAGAGTCTTCGGTCAAATCTAAGTGTTTTACTCCCAAATGTGGATTCTCTCTTGCGCGTTTCTCAAGGTCAGGATGATGATAATGGCAACGAGAATGAGAATGAGCCTCCTCCACTGCTTGATCGAGTTACTTCATATCGAAATGCTCTTAAAATTTACACATTTTTTCTCTTTAGTATTGTTCTCGCTGAGGAGTCAAGGGCTAGTTCCAATAACAAAACTAAGGTAATTGATTTACCATTATGCAGCTTGAAGTATTTTTAAGGTGTGCAAGTGATGTTGTGTTTGGTGTTTTATGTGCGTGTGAGATTTTGTTGTTGGATTGGTTTAGGTGACATTGACAAATAAGAAGAAACAGCTGGTACATTCATGGAATTGGGAACCACAGAGGGGTCGGATACTTAATTTGATTGCTAATTCACTAGAGATCAACCTCGCGTTGCTCTTTGGATCAATGGACCCAGATGAAAATTATCTTTCTTTCATTACAAAGTAAGCTTACTTAGTAATGTATTTCTGCTATGTTTGACTTTGACTTGGCATTTTTATGTTTTGGTGTTGTGTTTGAAATTTTCTGATTTGGGATTTTACAGAAATGCATTTGGTTTGTTTGAGAACGCAACACTTCTGAAGGATTCTGAGACAAAATATGCTCTTTGCCGAATAATTGGGGCTTGTGCTACAAAATATCATTATACAGCACAATCGTGTGCTTCAATCATGCACCTAGTTCACAAATATGACTATGTTGTTACCCCCATGGCTGATGCGGTTGCTGGAGCTGAGAAGAAGTATGCTGATGGCTCCCTTGCCAGTTCTTTGATCAGAGAGGTTGGGAGGACTAATCCAAAAGCTTATGTGAAAGACACTGTTGGGGCTGAAAATGTTGGGCGTTTTCTTGTGGAGCTTGCAGATCGACTGCCAAAGTTGATTTCAACTAACATTGGGGTCTTGGTTCCACATTTTGGAGGAGAATCTTACAAGATAAGGAACGCTCTTGTTGGTGTTCTAGGAAAGGTGGTGGCAAAGGCATTTAAGGATGTTAAGGGTGAAGTCAGTTCTAAATCAATGCGTCTCCGCACCAAGCAAGCCATGTTGGAAATCTTGCTCGAGCGTTGCCGAGATGTTTCTGCTTATACCAGGAGTCGGGTTCTTCAGGTTTGGGGTGAACTATGTGAAGAACATTCTGTTTCAATTGGTCTGTGGAATGAGGTTGCTGCAGTTGCCGCTGGGAGATTGGAGGACAAATCTGCAATAGTTAGAAAAGCTGCATTAAATTTACTTATCATGATGTTGCAGCATAACCCTTTTGGTCCACAGCTTCGAATAGCTTCATTTGAAGCAACATTAGAGCAATACAAGAAGAAGTTGAGCGGGCTTGAACCAGAAAAAAATGCGGAAAGTGTTTTGGATGGATTGCAATCTGATAAAGATACCTCCGATGGAGGTGAGGTTGATAATGTGAATGTGGAAGAACCAGGTAAGGAACAGGAGGAGAGTTTAACTGACAGTGTGCCTAATCGAGAAGAAGGGATTCCTCATAAGGATAACTCAGTGCCAGATATTGGGAACTTGGAGCAAACCAGGGCCTTGGTTGCATCTCTTGATGCTGGATTGATATTTTCTAAGTGCATATCTGCCACAATGCTTACACTTGTTCAGTTAATGGCTTCATCTTCTGCCACAGATGTTGAAAACACAATTTTGTTGCTAATGAGGTGCAAACAGTTTCAAATTGATGGTGCAGAGGCTTGCCTCCGTAAGATGTTGCCATTGGTAGGTTTTTAATTCTGGTCATTCCTGGGAAATAGTGACACTGCAAGTTTGGGAGCAAAGATGATAGTCTTAAGTTTAAGGTTGTCTAATCTGTACTTGTATAGTAAACTGTTAACATCCATTTCGTCATCTATGCTGGCTTTGGCAGGTATTCTCTCAGGATAAATCCATCTATGAAGCTGTGGAGAATGCTTTCATTACAATTTATTTACGGAAAAATCCAGTAGAGACTGCTAAGAATCTTTTGAATCTTGCCATAGATTCAAACATAGGAGATCTTGCAGCTCTGGAATTTATTGTCGGTGCCTTGGTTTCCAAAGGTGATATCTCCACTAGCACAGTGAGTCCATCTTATCTTACAATTTGGAGTTTTTTGTATTATTCAATAGTATTTTAGTTGCTATTTCTAATTAATTCACAGTTAATCAGTTGTTACTTTATATTCTTTTTCGCTTAGCGTTTACCTGTTCTTGCCATATTTAGATCACTCATAAAGCATTTGGTTTTGCAGATATCAGCATTATGGGATTTTTTTTGCTTTAACATCAGCGGAATCACTGCAGAGCAAAGCCGTGGAGCTTTATCAGTTCTTTGCATGGCTGCAAAATCGTCCTTTGGAATTCTTGGCTCTCACTTGCAAGATATTATTGATATTGGCTTTGGTCGCTGGGCTAAAGTGGACCCTTTGCTTGCCAGGACAGCATGCATTGCCATTCAGAGATTGTCAGAAGAGGACAAGAAAAAGTTGTTGGCTAGTAATGGCAGCCGTGTGTTTGGTATCTTAGAGAACTTAATCGCTGGCTTTTGGCTTCCAGAAAACACATGGTATGCTGCTGCTGATAAAGCAATAGGTGCCATATATACCATTCATCCCACTCCAGAAACCCTAGCTGCTGATCTTGTGAAGAATTCTCTTAGTTCTGTTTTCAATTGCAGTGGAGGAGATGACTTGCAGAATGATATTGAAATTGGTAGCACAGATATTCTTACAACAGTTCAAGTTGCAAGAATCAGTAGATATTTATTTGTCGTAAGTCATGTTGCCATGAATCAGTTACTATACATAGAATCCTGTGTTCGCAAAATCCAGAAACAAAAGCTGAAGAGGGATAGATTGGATGCTCAGGGACAGGATGCTCATGATAATGGGATAAAACCAGATAATACACTGAAGGTAGGTTGAAATTTTTCTATGCATCATTGTCTTGTACAACAAACTCTAGCTTTTCATTTGGAATATCTCTTTGACTATTTATTGCAGGATAACATCAATGCCGAGTTAGGTGTTTCTGCCTCTGAAGATGCAATTCTTGATACACTCTCTGACAGAGCAGAGAAAGAGATTGTTTCTGGTGGTTCCAATGAGAAGTATTTGTTGGGGCTTTGTGCACCTTTCCTGTCAAAGCTTTGTAGAAATTTTAGTTTGATGCAAAAGGTGATTCATCTCTTAGCTTTTCTCGCTTTAAAAGCCTCCACGATTGCTTTCTTCTTTAAGAGATTTGTGCATGACATAATGCAATTGTCATCCTTTGTTTTCCATGAATAATTGAATATCCCCCTCCAAATTTTCAGTAAAACTAACAGGACTCACATTTTTCAGTATCCTGAGCTACAGGCATCTGGAATGCTTGCTCTTTGTCGATTTATGATTATTGATCCAGATTTTTGGTGAGACCTCCCCCATCCTCTTTCTCTCACCCACACTCATGAAAAGCTTACGCCTAACTTCTGGGTGAATGTGTTCTCAGTGATGCGAATCTTCAGCTTCTCTTCACAGTTGTGGAAAGTGCGCCATCAGAAACTGTTCGTTCAAACTGCACTATCGCTCTTGGAGATTTGGCAGTTCGGTTTCCTAATCTGTTGGAACCATGGACTGAGAACATGTATGCTCGCTTGCGCGATCCTTCAGTTTCTGTTAGGAAAAATGCTGTGCTGGTGCTTTCACATCTCATATTAAATGATATGATGAAGGTCGGGGAACCTGCTAACCTCTTTCACCCTTTTTTCTCTGCTATTATAGTGATACAATATTTGATTCTGGGCATTTGCTTATCAGGTTAAAGGTTATATAAATGAAATGGCTATAAGATTAGAAGATGAACAGGAGAGGATTTCAAATCTCGCGAAGCTTTTCTTTCATGAGCTGTCAAAGAAAGGTAAATTTTGATACTTAAGTAGTAACGCAATGCAAAGTTGATTGATCATGTCTATTGGAAAATGGATGCTGAATTTACTAAACGATAATGCAGGAAGCAATCCTATATATAACTTACTTCCAGATATGCTTGGCAAATTATCCAACCAGGAGTTGAAAAGGGAGACTTTCTGCAACATCATGCAGTTTTTAATTGGGTCCATCAAAAAGGTATAGTCTGCTTGCTTAAGTAACTTGATTTAGCAAGTATTTGCCTGTAATGATGACTTGAACATTATACTTTCCGGATTCTTCCCAGGACAAACAAATGGAGTCTCTTGTTGAGAAGCTTTGCAATAGGTTCAGTGGAGTGACAGGTATGTCTTTGTTCATTATGTTTTTGTACATAGTGTTTACGAAGCTGAAGTGATCGTAAGGTCTCAGATCATATAACTCTGCTGCAAAGAGGCATTATTTGTGTTATGCAATAGTATACCAAAATATTGGCTGAGCAAATCTGACCTTATTGAAACTTGTTTGATAGCACTGGTTTGTAATGATTAAGTGATTCTTAACTTTTGTGCCTTTACTGTGGTTCGCCATGTGCTACACCATACTTTCAATTGTCTTTAAATTTGTTGTGAAAACTCTCTTAGATAGATGCATGAAACCACATCTCCTGTATAAGCATGAGATTTTAGATGTAGTCTCATTTCCTTGTGCATGGATGAAGGTACTCCTTGCCTTTTCATTTTGAATCATTATTTACAAGTGTATGCAGATTTTTCCTGTACTATTAGGTTTTCCAATCTTGCACTGCCTGCTTTTAGTTAAAAAAAAAAAAAACATGCTATGAGATTTTCCTTTCATCATCTTTAAGTTATTAATTTCTGATTTTTCATATAGCTTCATGTTTTTATGGGCATCGCATGATTTTCTCCCATGCTTGTTAAATGGAAAAAGATAATGTGATTTTTTTTTTTTTTTAATTCTACTTTTATAGTTCATCGGAAGATTTGGCTTACTTTGTGGACTGCTCTATTGCTGCAGATACTAGGCAGTGGGAATACATCTCTTATTGCCTCTCCCAGCTGGCATTTACTGAAAAGGGAATGAAAAAACTCATTGATTCATTTAAGACGTTTGAGCATGTCCTGTCTGAGGATTCTGTCATGGACCATTTTAAAAGCATAATTAACAAGGTATTGAATTTCTGTAATTCTGTTCCTCTTGCATCCCCTCATTTGTAATGATTTAATGGTATGTTTTCCATTTGCATTATGTGCAAACAGGCTAAGAAGTTCGCAAAACCAGAACTTAAATTGTGCATTGAGGAATTTGAGGAGAAGCTTGCTAAGTTCCACATGGAAAAGAAAGAACAAGAAGTGACGGCAAGAAATGCCCAAATTCATCAGCAGAAGGTTGAAGGCGTGGAAGGTTTTGCGATGGCTAGAAATGAAGGAGAAGAGAGTGAAGGATCTGATATTATTGAAGGTTGGTGCAGTAATTTTTTTTTGGCTAGTTTCAATGTTTAATGTCTTAGAATTTTCCTCATGCTTCTAGATTTTCATAAGACATGCAGGATTTAGATCCTTTCATGTTTCTAAGGGAACACGACCGGTCATGTTCCAATCCCTTATTGTGTGCCTGTTCAAGATACAACTGGTTGACTTGGATGTCTTTTTCATGATTTCTCTCTTTTTTCTTTTTTCAGTTATCAATATCCCTTTTTTTTTCTTTTTTCTTTTTTTTTTTTTTAGTGTGGAAAGAAAATGATGTGGATTATTTCCAGATTTTAATTTCTCTTTCAGTACTTGTTCCTAATTAATATGAAACACATATCATCTTTTCCAGCCCAATACATTTCATTGTTTAAAAATTTTATTTCCATCTTGCATAGGCTTCATTCATTCCAAAGAGGTAAATAATCGAGGAACCTTAGTGAATTTGTAGTCTTTTAGGCCCACATTACCTTGACGCACTACGTTGTTTGTGGATATAATATGGTATAGCCCTCTTAAAAATATTTGCTTTTAAGAATTGTGTTCATTCATGCTTGTGAGATTTGTGCTTATAAATGATATACTTTCTGCCTACGCTTGGTTACTGGTAAAGCAGATGGTAGAATTGATGATCCATCCACGGAAGAAATGGCTCAATCATCAGATTCTGAGGTCAATAGGTCAGATGAATATTCAGGCACCTCAAGCGAGGTGACAGACATGGAGTCTATTGGCACTGAAGTGCAGTCAAAAGGTCATTTAAGTTCTCTGACGCTTTTGTAACTTCAGTTAAACTGTTTTCTAGTATTTGCTATAGTCTTGCTATCTTTTACAGGGTCCTCCAAATCCAGAGCTACGGAAAGCAAAGTGAAAGGTCAAAAGGGTGATATTTCTGCATCGACTAGAAGATTCACCAGGTCAAAGCAAAGGTTGGTTTCTAAATATTAGCTCCATGTACTTGTGTGCAACTTTCCACATGAATTTTGCCTTATCCATGATTGCCAGAGCTGTTGCCCAGTTAATGTTTAGTTCGGGCGTGACCGCTATCAGGTCTGTGAAAGTATTTGACAAGTTTATATGTGATCATGCAGATAGAAGAAAGAGTAGGGGAGCTTGCAGATCAATCTTTGTTTTGCTTTCCACAAATGGAGAAAAGTAAAGTTTCGAGCTTGAGAAAGGTATTCGTAGCATATTTTCTTATTCCACTTGAAGAATGCCTACGGAAATATAAACAAAAAATGATTCTTTTGGATGGAAAAATTTGTATTGCAGTATGTAATGAAAGAATGGACCACATTTCAGGAACATAGTTTTGCTTTTTACCCGCTTTTGCTTGATGAATTAAAAACCAATGACGTTCCTTTTTTTTTTAATTAAAAATTAAAACAAAAAAATACTAACAATCTATTCAAGTTAAAAAAAAAAAAAAAAAAGAATAAATTATGACTTGTTGAAAAAAAGAAATTAGATTACTCAATATTTATCAAACCAAACAAATTTTCACCGCTAATTTTAAAAGGCAAAAAAGTTAGCTAATACATTATACAACAAAGCTGATTTCTTTATACCATTTTTTAATAAGATCTTTCCTTGCATATTTTCATACTAATCTACGTCAAGGATTAGTTTCATAAAATCATGCAAGGATTTTCATGCCTCAAGTTCTCAACGCAACAGGCTTCTCCATGCGGAAAAAATAAAAACTAGGAAATCAGAACAGATTAGGAGAAGAAGGAACTTTAAGGAGATAGGCTTTGATTGCATTCAAATATGATAATCACCAACCTGTAGTTTGCAAGTCAACAACTACAAAACAAGCCATGAGATATGTTCATCTCTATCTTCTTTAAAATACAAAATATCATCACTTCCGGTATCAACCACACAATCAAGCTCACACTTTCAGTTCTTCGAATATAAAGTCAAGCAATAGTTCTCACATCTCCAAATGGTTATATTTCATCCTCTTCAAAAGGATCTCTTTCTGGATAATCACCAACCTGAAATCATATACATATATATATATAAAAGGCCAATTCATGAAGTTGAAACAAAAAGAGCAGTTCAATATGCAGGCATTTAACGATAGAATGATCTACATTTTATATCCATGGTATTACATCAATTCCATGTCTCATACTGTAAAATGATGTGTGTTTTAATTGGATTATCAGTGAAGCAGAGTTCCAACATTGAAGCATCTTGAGAACATAGATCTGTACAAACCTTTACTTTGTCCGGCCTAATCATAGCACCATGAAGTGGAGGGCAATCAAAGTAGCGTACTCCTTTTACCCTGAAGAATGATCAAGAAATAAATAAACAATTGGATGCAGAGCAGAATGATCTGCGAGAGAGATTTTAAATGCCTATTTGCATAAAGCAAAATACCAACAATATAAACCAGGATACCAAAATTGAAGGCTGCTAACTTGGCCAAAATCATTCAATAGGCTCTGGTTCAGTACATGCACCAAGGCTGTGTTATCCAAATTTTCAGTCTAACAGACCAATCTAAGAACACTAATTCTGTAACGGGCAGTACAATGTAAAACGGAGTTGGTGAAATGTCCAACATATTCATGTACTGTCAATTCAGACACTATTTCCCCCAGGAATCCTGTAATACTGAATTTTGCAAGAAATTGTCAATGTTGGAACAAAAGAATATTCAAGGCTGCTGATCTATTGCTACACAATATTATCAATATGCTGAAACAGAGCAAGTCAGCATGATTTGACCAAGATAAAGGGAGACAAATTTCATCTTTTTTCCCTCCGGAAATGCCAGACAAAATTAAGCTAAGACTAGAGCATTAGACAACAATATGTTATCAAGAGCCCTAGAAGGTGAGAGCTAGCAGCATGTGAGTTACTAAATAAAGTGATCCAAATCGTTAGTTGGGTCTCGACCCTATATGATTTATCCTAGTTGTGACCTAACGTAAGCATATCTAGACCACAGCATCCATGCACCTAAATATTGATCTAGACATAAACTCTTATATTCTCCTTTGAACAATGAACTAATTACATGAACAAAACAAAACAAAAAAAAGAAAAAAGGGAGAATAGCACTTCGAAGTTCCTAGGAATATCACAAATATTAATGTACATACATGCCATTGTGTTTTCCGAATGGTTCATCAAACTGAACTCCAACCCAAAAACCTGGTGCAAGAGATTCTGCTCGACCAACATACTTGACAACCCCTCTTTTCTCCCCTGGTTCAATCTCACATCTGTTGCCCACCTAATCATTAGAGAGTTGGAAAATAAAAAGTAAAGGAAATTTGTGGTATAAGAGAGTAGATAAGACAAAAAAGTTCAACGAATTCTGAAGGAAAAAAAATAAAATATAAAGAAGCCATCCACGCCTTGTACCTAAAAGTGGATACTAAATTTAACCAAAAGTCTCAACCATCTCTGAAAACAAATGTGAAGGGAATAACTAACCTTAATATTAGCACACAGGTCTTCCATGTAGTCATCTGTTATCTGTGAATGAAACACAAATGAAATAAAACATATCCACTCACTAGCTCAAAGAATGCTGACCAAAACCATCACTTTTTTTGATCAAGAACGATAATGAAACACACCAAAGGAAGCCATAGTATACACTTCCATATCACATTAATGAAGCATAAATCATGGATTAAAATAGCACATTCAAATTTTCACTCAAAAGGTGATATATAGAGCACCTAAATGGACTCCAATTTACCACACGCAAATTTTCACTGCACTCATAATTACAACAAATTTACTCCAAATGAATGTTAGAAAGGGTATACATACACCAAAATTACTGAATAATCACTCCTCATTTGGGTTATTCCTCCTTTTTTAAAATTTTCCACATATTACTTGTCAAAACGAAAAAACTACAGAACAAACAAGCAGTAAAGAGCCTCAAAACATCGAAGATTTACCTTAGGTGCAAAAGCTGATGGATTTTGAGCTGCCATTTTTTCTTTAAATTTTCTAAAAGTACCTGAAAATCACAAAGAACAAATAAATCATTAGTCAGTAAAACCCAAAATGTGTTTGCAAGCATAACATCTGCTCTCTCTCTGATTTTTTTTTCCTAAAAAAAAAATAACAACCTTTTCACACTCATAAAATCATAAGATGAGAATTCAATAATAATAATAATGATAATAATCCAGCCAAGATCAAATAAAATCCAATCGCTTACCATCACGTTTATCATAAGCCTCTTCAGAAATTGAATATTTCTCCACCAATGACGTATCCTCCAGCCACCCACCGGATGTTACTGATGAAGGATCAAGATCTATTATATGCAACCGATACCTAAAAGAAAACCCATTAATCACTCAATTCAAGAAACCCACCCCCACGTTTCCAATAGCTAAAAAAAAACCCTTCAAAAAACTAATTTTAAAAAAATAAACACTAACCCATCAAGAGGAGAGTAGAAACCTAGAGGTCTAGAATCATCAGTTAAATTCGAGATTTTTGTGTTTGTATCATCATAAAGCTCGAGTTGCATTGAATTCACTGAAGTCCCGCATTTTCTCCATAGCTTATCTTTCACAGCTTCCACTGTAGACTAATAATAAAGGAAATTTCCTTGATCAAATTTTAGTAAATGAAAGTTGTGATTCAGCTGGGAAGTGTTTGTGGGTTTTGTACCTGAAGAGAGAAGCGAATTTCAGAAGAGAAAGACTTGAGATTGGAGTGAGTGACTCGCAGGAGGACTGACTCGTCGGGTTGAATCTGTAAGCGGGATGATGCCATTAGAGAAATTTGAGATTTTGCTGCGAAACAAATGGCAATGGCACTCTTTCGCAGTTTAAATTGGTTTCTTGATTTGATTTTTGAGAAACAGGCCCGCCTGAGATGACAAAAAACAGGCTCGGCTGCTTTCTTACAAGGTCCAATGGTCCTCGACCATGAGCTCTAACTTCTGTTCTTCAATAAGCCCTTCTAGTAAATGGGTCGAGGATCTTGCCAGTATTTACTGGTTAGACACCGTCCAAGCGTGGACAGGGAGTTTGGAAGTGGTGATGGTAATTCAGTCCGCCCGGCCCCATCCCGCCCCGTTTGCCGTGGGGGTGGAGCACGAATTTTGTCTCGATCAGGTAGGGGGTAAGGATGGGTTTTCCTTTTTTTTAGGTAGGGCCTATCGCGTCCTCGTCTCGCCTTTTTACCTTTAAAAAAAATAATCCGACAGGGCCCATCTCATCCCGTTTCGTTTGGATTAGGATGAGGAGCGACATTTCATCCTAATAGAGCGCGAAGTAGAGATGAGTTTTTTTTTTAAGGACGGTGTGGGGATGGCGATAGCGATCCCTGACCCATTGGCATCCTTATTTGGAAGGTATAGATGGGTTGAAACCAAAATCTCAAAAAACAATTAATAAGTGTTATGAAATAATGATAATGAATGTCCATCATTATGTTTATTCATTTTTCATATCTCCATGATTTATGATTTTTAATATGATTCAATTCATCATTCAATATGAGAAATTGAAAGGGTAATGTAATTAATTATTCATAGTCTCTTCTAATTCTCTCTTTAATTTTGAAGCCTATAAATAGGTTTGATTGTTCATTAGTTGGTGTACAAGTTTTCAGAGAGAATAAGAGAAACTTTGAAGTTCTTATCACTTATATGCACATTATAGTTATTCCATTTTCTTGTCATCATTTTCTTCAATTTTCCTATTATTTCTATTTATTTTATAAGACGTTATCGGCATGAAGCTCTAACCAATCGAGACAATAGACCATGAGGTATGTATTTACCAAAAGATTTAATCAATTGTTTCAACAATTGGATTTCTTCTACACAAGTGCTCTACCAAAAGATATAAATTATTTAGATCATTAATAAGTATGTATCTAATTTATTCATGTACTTTAAATCTATTGATACATGAAATATATATTTAAAAAACTTAAATGATCTAATATATGTTATTTGAAAAGCTTTAATTTTATTATTATATTTGTTCTTATTTTCAAATATTATTATTATATATTGTATTATAGAAATTTTATTATATCAAACCTTATAAACTTGATTTGGTGACTCTTGATATTTTGAATAAGAATTATTGATTATGAGTGCTTGATTTTGAAAAAATATTCTCTACTTTTTATGTCTTGGATATGCTCCTGCGATAGCATATCAAGAAAAAGAGTTTAAGAAATATTTTGGATCGATTTTATATTTGTTAGTGGCTAAATAAAATGAAAAATAATAAATCTTATCCAATTGGACCTACTATATTCCCCGAAGTGAATGTGGTGATTTATAATAATTTTAGACATGGATGAAGATGTGGTCATAGCCATGGATATGGTCGAAATAATTATCATTATAATCGTAATGACCATAATATTACATCTCACCACCGAAGTCGATAACTATGAAAAAAAGAAATAAAAATAGATAAAATTAGTATTCTAAAAAATAAATATTATAGATGTAGAATGAATGAATATTGGTCATGCACCTGTAGTATACCAAAGCACCTCATTGAGCCTTGTCGAGTCTTATTGAAAAATAAAAGGTAAAATATAAAGGTCACTTTTATATATCAAAATAATAGTAATTGAAATTAATTACTTGTTAGTTTTTTTATTTATAAATAAAATATTTTATATTTCTAATAATTTATGTTGTAGAGTGATGGTTACAAATTTATTTTACTATTTATTTATTTGTTTGTGTTTATGAGGAATATATTTATTTATTTATTTTATATTTATTTATTTTATGTTCATATTATATATGATAATATCAATCTAATAGAAAGCTCCAGAAGAGCGACTATATTATTATCTAAAGAGATAGATTTTAAAGGCTCTAAAAGAGGGATTATATCATGACTTAAAAAGATAAATTTTTGAAGCTCTAGAAGAGTGAATAAATTATTACTCGAAGAGAAAATGTTTAAAGGCTCTAGAAGAGTCGATATATTATTACTTTAAGTGACTAATTTAAAGGCTCTAAAAGAGCAAACACGTTATTATCTAAAAGGCTAAATTTATTATGAATGATGTACTATTATCTTCAAAATCTCATAGAAATTTGTTGAGTTTCAAAGATATTCATCCGAATTGATATCATATCAAGATAGCAAATGTGAATACTTATATGTTATAATCATTATATCGGGTATAAAATATCTATCAAGAAAATTTATCCATTTTCTCTTTTAATTTTTATTATAAACATTGAAATATATTGTAGTAAACTAGAAGTTTACTAATTCAAATATTTTTACTATGTGACATGACCGGTTGTGTTATTTTGGATCTTTCATGATGCAAAAAAATTATTAAAAAAATTTATGAATATCTATTGAAGAGCCATAAGATTCTTCGATTGAATGAACTTTCATGTTCGCATATTGCCGAGATAAATTGATGGTTAAGCCATCATCAAGTAAAATTTAGATTGAATCTTCGGTATTTTAGAATGTATTCAAAGTGATATATGTGGATCAATTCATCCACCATGTGGATCATTTAAATACTTTACGAATTTGATAAATGCATCCACAAGATGGTCACATATATACTTATTATCTACTCGAAACTTGAAGTTTTTGAGATTGCTAACAAATAATTTGATTTCGAGCATAATTTTCAAATTATGCAATTAAAACAAGTCACCTTGATAATGCTAATGAATTTATTTCTCAAGTATTAAATTATTATTGATTGTCTATTAAAATAAAGGTTGAATATCATGTTGCTCATGTTCATACTAAAAAAGGTTTAGCAAAATCATTTATCAAAAGGCTCCAATTGATAGCTAAACCACTATTTAAAAATAAAACTCTATATTTATGTTTGGGGACATACAATCTTATATACGGCAACACTTATTCGCATATGACCTATAAGTTATCGAAATTCTCTCATTTTCGGTTGATTTATTGTTATGAGTCATATTGCTTATTTAAAATTTTTTTGACATTACAATGTATATCCTTAGTGCTCCTTCATAAAGAAATAAAATGGACACTTAAAGGAGATTGAGAATATATTTGGATTTGAATCCTTTTTTGTAATTAAATATCTTGAATCATGAATAAATGATATTTTTATAGCTTGATTTATCGATTGTCATTTTGATGAAATAGTTTTTTCAATATTAAAGAGAGAGAATAAACAAAATAAGTAGTTGGAAATGTTGAAAGAAAAAAAGATTACATGGAATACTCTATCTTATATCACCTTGATTCTTGTAAAAGATAATATGAACTAGAAGTTCAAAAGATAATTCATGTACAAGTTATTGAAACCAATCGCCAAATGCATTCTCATATCTTACATGAGTAACTAAAATACATGTACCTACTAAGAATGCTCCTATTAGAATTAATGTCCTAGAAGGATAATCTATTAATATTATAGCTAACAAATTTAAAGCACGCTCGAAAGCATGGAAGACCGATCGTTTCTAAAGATAAAAATCTCTAAAAGAAAAGGGCAAGATGAAAATATTTATAAAATAGTTTAAGATATTTCGATAACATGCTTCCGGAAGAAGTCCAAATGCTTGAGAAAAATCAAAAAATTTTGACAAATTATGTCAATACGGGGAGAAAATAGGACCGAAAATAAACATATATTGATAAGATTTTTACATATAATGTTACAATTGATATTTTGAATGAAAATAAGGATCCCGAGCCAAAATTTATTGAAGAATGTCAACATAAAGATGATTGACCTAAATGAAAAGAGCAATCTAGGCATAATTATATTCTCTTATAAAAAAGTAGTTTTTTGAACCCATAGCTAAAACATCCGAAGATGTTAAGCTAGTGGGATATAAATATATATTTATGCGAAAATGAAATAAGAAAAATGAGATTGTAAGATACAAAGCAAAACTTTTAACATAAGAGTTGTCTTAAAGAATTGACATTGATTATAAGGAGACATATTCTCCTATAGTGGATGCAATTATCTTTTGTTATCTCATTAGCCTGGAAAAATATATGAAAAACATTCATATGCATACATTTAATGAATGTGATTATAGTTTATTTGTTTATTTGAAATGATATCGGTATGAAAGTCCTAGAAGGACTTAACATGCCAAAAGCATGTAATACATATTCTCGAAAAAAGAATTCAATTAAATTATAGAGATCTCTATTATGATTATTTTAGTATTTATTTTATTATTTTAGTTTTTAGAAATTCAATTTATATTATACTTTTTATATTTTATTTTTATATCTATTTTTTATTACTAACCCATGTGCATGTGATATAATCACTTTAATAATTATTAAAAAAAATCATATTTGTTCATATATATTTTATTTGAAAAGGGGTTTGTTTTATATGTTGATAACTTAAATATTATTGGAACTCCCGAAGAGATTCCAAGTGTCCTAAGTTATCTAAAAGGAGAATTTAATGTGAACACCTTGAAAAAACAAAATGTTATCTCGACCTGCAGTTCGAGCACTCGGAGAAAGATTTTTATTTATCGATCAATTTATATAGAAAAAAGTTCAATACCGATTTTATATAAAGATCATTCATTGACTAGTCCAATGATAGTTCATTCACTTGATATCCAAAAAGATCCTTTCGACCTTAAGAAGATAACGAAGAACTATTTGGTCCCGAAGTACCATGTTTTAGTGCTATTGATGCATTGATGTATCTTGCTAATAATACTCGACTCGATATAGTATTTTCTATAAATTTTTTAGCTAGTCATAGTTACGTTTCGGTATAAAGACATTGAAATAAAGTTAAATATATACTACGTTATTTCGACGAATAATTGATATGGGCTTATATTACTCTAATAAATCAAAGGCAAGATTAATTAGTTATGCGGATACAAGTTATTTATCCGATCTACACAAAGCTCGATCACAACTAGTTATATATTTAAACATGAAGATCCAGCTATATCTTTGTGTTCTATAAAGCAAACTATAGATGCCATATCTTCAAATCATGTAGAAATATCAATTAACAAGGCAAGTCGAGAATGTATTTGACTAAGATTAACAATCCATCATATCCAGAGACATACAATTTATCTATCGGTAAAAGAAACTCCAACAATATCATATGAGGATAATATTGCTTGCATAATTCCATTAAAGGAAGAATACATCAAAGTGACAATCCAGGTAGATCTATTCGCTAAAGCATTACTTACAACAACTTTTGAGAAGATGATTCACAAGATTGAAATGCGTCGTCTTAAAGATCTTAAATAATGCCTTCAATAGGGGAGACTAAAATGAAGATTAATGTGTGCAAGGAATATTGTACTATTTTTCCTTCACTATGATTTTTTTCCCATCGTGTTTTTTCCTAGTAAGGTTTTAACGAGGCATGTTCTTTATACAATGGATATTTAAGGAGGAGTGTTATGAAATAATGATAATAAATGTCCATCATAATGTTCATCCACTTTTCATATCCTCACTACTCATGATTCTTAATATGATTCAATTTATCATTTAATATGAGAAATTGAAAGGGTGATATAATTGATTATTCATAGTTTCTTCCAATTCTCTCCTTAATTTTGAAGCATATAAATAGACTTATTTGTTCATTAGTTGGTATACAAGTTTCCTAGAAAGAATAAGAAAAACTTTGAAGTTTTTATCACTTATATTCACATTATAGTAATTTCATTTTCTTGTCATCCTTTTTTTCAATTTTCTTATTATTTCTATTTATTTTATAACAATAAGTTTGTTTTTAGGCACGAAATAAGATTTTCATTGATTAAAAAATAAAAAAAGTAATTAATTATAACGAGTAGATTGGTTCGAGAAATAAGCATATGTTGGATAGAAGGCTGAATAACAAGAAGAAATTTGTGTTCTCCTTTCTTTCAACTTTTTTTGTGCTTCATATGCAATAATAGAAACTCCCAAAGACTGTTTAATGCATATCCACTAATTCAATCCGAGTGCGTGGATCCAAATTGGCTTGAACGTGGAACCCTAATCTTAGTTGCATGATATACATGAAACATTTTTTATTTAGAAAAAATAAATTATAAGATAATTATATACATTAAAAAAATTCATATTAAATGATGGAAAAAACAATTTCTCATGAACCAATACCGGCAGATCACTATTCTTACTTTTTTTCCCTCTATATAAATGCTTCCTTTTTGGTTCCTTTCATTGGCGCCAGTGTTTGTCCGCTTTAAAACCACTCCAAAACCCTATATTTAACTCATCTGATGGCGTCGTCTATCTCTCTCAAAACGTGTTTTAGCTCTCTCTACAATGATCTAAACAACAACCGGGTAATAAAATTTCTGACTTTTATAATTTTTTTGTTGTGGGTTTGTTTTAAGATTCAATAGGTTAGTGATTCTTTTTTTTTTTTCCGTTTTTTTTGCAGGGTTTTGGAAGTGGGGTTTTGCCTACAAGTTTTTGGGTTAAAAAGGAGTGCAATTTGAGGGGGAAGAGATTGATTTTATCAAAGAAATTTGAAGCGAATTGCTTGAAGGATAAAGATATGGATGTGAAAACTTCAGCTTTGGTTGATGGTGTGGCAGAGTGTTTAAATGATGGCATGTGTCTTTGTCTTGTTTTTGTTGATGTTATTTGAATTTATGGGCTTATTGTTGTTTGGAGTTTTTAATGTAAAGTCTGTATCTTTTTGCAGAAATTGAGATTAAGGAACCTAGTGTTTCGACAGTAGTGATGAATTTCGAGAACAAGTTTGATCCATATGGTGCAATGAGTACACCGCTTTATCAAACAGCTACATTTAAGCAGGTAATGTTGAAAGGAAGTCTCTTTTATGTGTTGTGTGATATAGATGATGAGAGCGGTGAAAATTGTATTTGTAATGTTGGTAAAATTTTGATGTTTTTGTCATGTCATGTCTATAACGAAATTGGGGATAGAAAGTATCGAGTTTGGATTGCATATGATGAGAATAGGGATAGAGAGTTCAATTATTCATGGAAATTAGAAGCCTGTGGAAGTTTATATGCTTTTGACATGGACGCAGTTCCCTTATTAATGTACTCTTTCCTTATTCGTATGGCATAACACATGCTTAACATCATTTCATTTTTGGGGTTTTAACGAGTTTGTTTTTCATGCTTTATATCGCAGCCCTCAGCTATAACAAATGGGGCTTATGATTATACCAGAAGTGGAAATCCTACAAGGGATGCCTTAGAAAGGTATGTTTTGTATGTTGGTGTATATGATGCTGATAAAGCAGTTTTCACAATTATTCATAGGATCAACTTAGTCGTTTCTCATTGTAACTTCTTTCATGTAAGCTTATTTTGTTCTTATTCTTATCTTTTTAGCCTCCTTGCGAAGCTAGATAAAGGAGATCGAGCATTATGCTTCACAAGTGGAATGGCTGCTTTGGCTGCTGCCTCTCATCTTGTTGGAACAGGTGCTTTTCACTCTTTTTGTCACCTCTTCTTTACACAGGCAATCAGTTTCTTATCTACCATGCCTCGTTATTAGCTATGTTTCAAAATATCCCCAGCCCATTATTGTGTGGAGATTTGTAACTACATCTAAGCATTTTGCCATAGTTTTGAGGTTATGAGGTCCAAACTCAGCTCATGTTTGTGCAAATTTGTATTTTTAGAATGTCTACTTCATTCTTAATATAGTCAGAGATAGTTAATCTTGAATTTGTGTGGAAGTTCTTGTGTTAACTTGTCCAACTGCCATCTTAGGCCAGGAAATTGTTGCTGGAGATGACATATATGGCGGTTCCGACCGATTGTTGTCACAAGTAACTCCAAAAAACGGAATTGTGGTGAAGTTAGTGACGTATAATTTTTTTTTCTTTTTTATTGTGACCTTGCTTCACCTGCAATCTGAAGTACTTGTTCTTAGTAATGTGCAGACGAGTAAATACAAGTAATCTAAATGAAGTAGCATCTGCAATTGGTCCCCATACAAAGCTCGTGTGGCTAGAGAGCCCAACTAACCCTCGTCAACAAATTTCTGATATTCGTGTAAGAGTCTTCCTTTCTTGAAGTTAGGAAATTTATTTGTTAATAATTGTTTGGGTATATTGTTATTGAGGTAGAATATCCTAATTTGACCATTTGGAAGTTTGGCCATATGGAAGTGTTCACTATTGATGGTTTGTGTTATTTATATTATGCATGTATGAATAAATGTGTTCTGGTGGTAATTCTGCTTGATACTGTGCAGTAAAACTTATGGTTGGTTTATCTTTCTCCAAAAAGAAAAAAGAAAATTGGTCGAGCAATAGCAACCCGGATGCAGGGATATATTTTTCATATCCATTCTTCCTCTTTCTCTTTTTTATTATCTGTTTTGAATAGACGTGAATTGTTTTTTTTCACCCCTTTTTATTTACAATGGTTTGTGGATCTTGTTCGAGGTTTCAGAAAATTGCAGAGATGGCTCATGCACATGGTGCCCTTGTCATGGTAGATAATAGTATTATGTCTCCTGTATTATCACAACCATTGGAACTTGGAGCAGGTATGGCCAATGCATTGTGGTTGTAACATTGTGGGACTGCAGTTCTGCCTAATGCTTAGTTTTGAATTGTTCATGTCCCTTGCAGACATTGTGATGCACTCAGCGACTAAATTTATAGCTGGACAAAGTGATGTCATGGCAGGCGTGCTTGTGGTAAAAGGGGAAAGGTTATGTCTGTAACTTTTGTATTTCTTAGTGCAATTGTAAGGGATGCCTTTTGTTTCCTTTGCTGTATTTAAGTTTTAGCTAATGATTGTGTACTTGTTGAAAAAATCGTGTGTCGACCTTTGTTATTTAGTTCCATGGCATGTTTTGATGTGTGAAAATTTTACGATTCCATCTAAGGCTAGATAGTTTGAACTCTTCACAGTAGTTTGAACTCTTCACAGTTCTGATCTGTTCAACTGGGGTTACAAACTGGTCAAATATTAGGAAACCGTTGGCTAATTATAAAACAAAAGTTTATGGCGACTACTTCTAATTTCTTATGATACTGAATTGGAACTGTTTCTGCATGTCAAACACTCGCATGCTCTAAGTTGGGAACTTGTATTTTCACTTTGTTATTTGCTCGATGTCATTAATCCCGCTTACTCGGTATATATACTTGCATTGACTACCTATGTAGACTTTATTTCTTTTAAGCATTTATAATGGATTTCTTTCTGAAGTCTTTCCTGCATTACCAGCTTGGCAAGAGATTTGTATTTCCTCCAAAATGCAGAAGGCTCTGGGTTAGCACCATTTGACTGTTGGATTTGCTTACGAGGCATCAAAACCATGGCCTTACGAGTTGAGAAACAGCAGGTACTAAGTTGAATCCATTCAAAAGTAAAAAAAAAAAAATGTTCATTTTTTATCTAATTATTTTTGCATAGTTGCTTATTATATTTATTGGATATCGTACAATCCAATGGGGGTGGCAAAGCGGAGGTCGAACTTGACAAAATAGATTCTTGTGAATATTCTGATGACCAATCTGCAACAACCCACTTACTAGGCTCTTTGCCTTATGGCAGGAGAATGCACAGAAAATTGCTGAGTTTCTTGCATCACATCAGCGGGTGAAGAAAGTAAATTATGCTGGTCTTCCTGATCATCTTGGACGTGATTTGCACTATTCTCAGGTGTGCCTAACTTCAGATGTAGCTTAGATATTAACCTTGTTCTTGCAGTGTTGAACCTCTTTAAGGAAGTCCTTTGTTAACATCCCTTGCAGGCAAAGGGTGCGGGATCTGTGCTTAGCTTTTTAACTGGATCACTATCACTCTCAAAGCACGTTGTTGAGACTACCAAGTATTTTAGCATAACTGTCAGTTTTGGTAATCATTCTTCCTACTCAAAGCTTATCATGATTTGAGTATATTATTGCGAGGGTAATTTAACATCCAATTGACGAAACCCTTGATATATCTGCATGGTAAAGATGATGTTGGAGATAAGATTCTTTCCTGCATATATTCCTATATCGAGGACCACTATTGTCTTTGCACTTTTGAATTTTAATGCATGTGCAATGAATATGCAACAAGAGATAATGAAGCTCAGGTAAAAATAAATGCCATTGGGATTTTGGAATCAGATTATTCCATGAGTGCATTGAAATCTTATGTCTTGGGAGTATTAGTTTTATGTCATGGTTTCCTCACCTCACAAGATGGAAGTGGTTGATATTCAATATCACCACAACCTATGCATCTCTGAAAGCTAAGGTTGCAAATCTTGAAGGTTCCATGAGAGAGCTTTCATTTGCACCTTATATCTGCTTGCAACTTGAGACTGACAGATTTAATGTCTCATGTTGTGTAGCCTCCAATTTTAAACTTTGACATATCTACTTGTATCCAATCTGTTAACAGTATATAGGTGGGAATTGTCTTGTTGCAAAGCCTGTCTGATCAAATTGAAATGCGATTGTTGTGAAAGTTTTGAGAACTACTATTTTCATCTCACGCTTGGTTGCACGCTACTTCCTTACTATGGAATTGCCTATTGTAGGGAGTGTGAAGTCCCTTATAAGCATGCCCTGCTTCATGTCCCATGCAAGTATACCAGCTGCAGTACGAGAAGCCAGAGGTCTCACTGAAGATCTTATTCGTATCTCAGTGGGGATAGAAGATGTCAATGATCTGATTGCTGACTTAGACCGTGCACTGAGAACTGGACCATGATAGGTGCTCGAGTATCTCCAAATTTTCCCCAGACTAAACAACGGCCTATCCTTGCCCTTTATCCTGTAACAGGCAAATGATGTGCAATTGTTTCAAATATGTAACTTACAGAGCATAATATTTACTTGGGTGTTGGAAATATCCAATGGATGTTGTATTATTTGTGTTGACAGCTACAATATATGCATTCAAGTCAATAAAAGTTTTGTGGAGCAGCAGCTTCTTGTTTAATTTCTTTTATCCAATTCTATCAATGGTATTTGCAATTAAGTGAAATAGAATTCTACAAATCCAAACTACAAGATAGTGATTGTTTTGCTAAATGACAAAAGGCGAGGCAAGTAGCATTTCCATGTTCAATTTCGAAACTGCTCTCATCTTGGGGTGTATTGTGGAGTTGTGGCAGTTAGAAAGAGATCTGTGAGGCTGAAATTATATAAAGCATTTAAAGATGCGTGATTGGTGTATGAGACCAGCAATACTTGATGATGTTGACTTAAGAAGCAATGTAAAGGAGACAAGCAAAGATTTTTACGACAGATCTCTATACCTAAAAATGGAAAACGCCAAACATTTTGTCCTGCCGAAGGATCCTATGGGGCAACTCCATCTTCACATATAGACATCGAATCATCATGTCTTGACTTTGTTTCATTGTCAATTGGATTGCCTAGTCTTTTTCTCAGCTGTACGTAGCTGTCTCTGGCTATGTCTATTTTTTATGATTAACATTTAAGGTGGATGAATTATAGAGGATTTGAAGCATTCATTATCCTTCTTGCTTGTCTTAAAAAAGGAGGAAGAATGGCATCCAGTTACACACCGCAATCATTGAGCCCCCTAGAATGGTATTATGATTTTGGCAACCCTGTGCTGATATCAACCATAAATACTTCTTCATCACCTAATTATTTTGATTTTCGTTTATTGAAGTTCTGTTTGATATTTGTTTTACTTCTTATCATCAAACCAGAAACAGAAAAATACTTTTAGATTAGATTTTATGCACAAAGCTTCGGTTTTGTCACCGTATCAGAATCATTATATTTAATTTTTCTATCTTTCCAATGAATTAAAATCTAAAATTACAAAGAAAACTAAAAAAAAGAATAGTTCACTGTTCATTTTATGTATACCAACACCCATTCTCAATGTGGAATATGACTCGTGTGAATTGCGTTGGCTCTTTTCTTTGTTATCAATCGTCCGATTGTGATTCTCTTTTTTTATTTCTATTTGATTTGTTGGATCTAGTGCATTGATTTGCCATGCCTTTTGTTTTGTTGGATCTCTAGTCTGTTCATTTGCAAACTTTTTTGTTCGAATGCGAGCATTTGGTATTGATTTTTTTTCAATTTCTTTAGGTCTTACAAGTGGTCTATTTGACACCTTCTTTTTTGCCTTTTATTTTTTATTTTATTTTTTTGCTATTTTATTTATGTATTTTGTGTTGTTATCTTTATCTTTGTGTTCTCTCACTATTCTTATTTTATTTACCAGCCACTAGGAATGGCGATAGGGCGAGGACAGAGGTGACCTCTTGTCCCCGAAAAGCTTTGTATCGTCCTAGCCCATACCCTGCGTGGAGCAATATTTCCCCTACCATCCTCATGGGGCATCGGGGATCCCCGTAAGGCACCGATGCCCCGCTTAATTCCTTGCACTCATCCCCTTTCATTCTACATCATATCATCTTGTACCAAATTTTAAACTATAACAAATAGATAATAGTCCATATAAAAAATTACAATTAAGAAAAACAATCATTTAACATTATATTCAACTACAAGTTTACAACACAACTCATAATATATTAAATTTTTTTCAATCGAATAAATACTTAATTAAGTTGATGAAATATCACAAATATAATTAAAAAAACATAAATACTTGCATGTTTTTACTACTTAGAGATCATCAAAGCTCACTCATTATATTAAAAACTAGTTTATAGCCTCGGAATTTATATAGATGTTGGGTATAATTGTAATTTTCAAAAGCAAAGATGGGGCGGGGCGGGACGGGGTGGGTAAATACCATCCTCGCCCCATCCTCGTTCAAAGTCAATACGGGGCTAGGTGTCCCGCTCCATTTCCCGGTTAACTTAGGAAATCCTTACGTTGATCAAGGCGAGAGAAGGGCGAGGTCACATTGGGGTGGGGCAAATTGTCATCCTTACCAACCACCGGATGTTATATTGTCAATTTCCTTCTCTTCATTGTAGCATTTAATGTTTGTCATTTCTTGTTTTTGTACTCTTACCTTTATTTCCTCCTAGTGTTCTTATTTCCTTTCTCTCTTGATAGGTGTTTTATGGTAAATTTGCTTCTTTGTTGCAACATTTAATACCTACCATTAATGGGGTTGCATTATTGGTTTTCCTTTAAATCTTTATTCTTCAATTTTTTTTACGGCACAACCAATATTTACCAAAGTTTTACCCTCACACATTAGGTGTTAGTGTAGGTGCTCAAGATCCAACCATGTTTAGATGAGCTTGAGTTAATGTATTATTGTATTATTTATTTTAATAATAATAAAGAAGTCATTCTATTAGTTCTTGTGTTTTATGTTTGTAAATTCGAGTAGAATTAGATAGAAGTCCTTATGATATGCATTTGGAATAACGATTGATCAAAAGATATGAGATAAACATTAATGCATATAAATGATATCATTAAACGTCTCAAGTCATAGCATTGTCAAGAATAGACACCGACTATATGCGGATAGACTTATGAGTGTTATGCTCATGCTATATGATAGTAGTAGAAGATCTCAAACCATACATTTTCCTTATGTTTTAAGGTTGTCGCAAAATTGCCTAGAAAAGATTTCTACATAAAACACTACACAAACAAAAAAAAGGTGGAGCTAACACTTTATCGATTTTGAGTGCTTTTTTGTGGATGCTTGGATTGCGTCAATAATCAATAAAGGCCGGACACTTGGACGACTTTTCTAATAAAAGAATTTAAATCGTGCTACAAGAGGTAATTCTTTATTCATTGCTTTAAATTCATGCATATATGGTTAGTAGATTCAACAAATTGATTTTGAGCCCTTAGATGGAGAAAATTTTTTATTTAGTCCACATCTTCATAGGATACATGATCCTTCATTAGACCCCACGAAGTCGATTTTGAACCGGATTACATTATAAGAAAACCTAAAAGATTTTGAGTGATTGTTATTCATGCACACTCATTTTACTATTTACTTACTATTCATTTACACTCATAAACATTATTTATCTAATGCTATTGTATTAAATGGTATTATTGTGAATTTTAAGCTTTATTTAGACATTTGATATGATATTTTTGTAATTTAACCTATATTTAGGTATTTGATATGCAAATTTTGACAAATATTGCACTTTGGTTTTTAATTTTTTCTAAAATATTTTTTATGTAATTTTATTTGTTAACAAATATGATTTATTTTTTTTATGTATGGATTTTCAAATAAGTTTTTTTTTTAGTTGTTTTTATTTTTTTATTCTTTATATAATCAAATTTTAAAAATAGAATTCACTATTTTACGTTTTATTTTTTATATAATCAAATTTTATCGAAATCAATTTTGTAATTGTTTTTATTACACTCTATTAACTTCGATGTATTTTTTACAATTTAAATTTTTTTAAAATATTTTTTTATTTATGCTTGCATGCTCGACCCATTAAGTAAGGTTATGATGTATGAAAAAATTAGGATCATTAATTAATTAAAAATTAACTATACATCTACACATATAACACCATTCATGTCCTTTTCTTCTAATATTTTAAAATTAAACTCTTTCAAATAAAATAATTAAAATAATATTTTAGAATTGAAATGCCTAATAATTTAAAAATAAATTTTTATACTAATGTTATTCATTATTATTATTATTATTATTATTATATATCAAATGTAGACATTTCAAAAAAGTTAACCTTATCATCAGTATTAATATAAGAATAAAAAAATTAATTTGTTATTTTTTATACAAATGTTATATTAATTATTGCTTTATTTCTTCTATGCAATAACATGCTAAAATTATTAAGATATTTTTTAAAATTTTATATTTAGATTATTATGTATTTTTATTTAAGAAATAATACAAATACATATGAAATAACAAATATGTTTTTAACTATAAAATTTATTAAAAACATATCGCAATAAATAAATAAATATAAAATGTTGATTTTTTTTTCCCCAACTATCTATGCATTAGCTGAGTTGTTTTCAATTATTAAGGTGGACAATCTATCATTGTCATGTTAATCCGTAGTAGGTCAACTTAGAAAGTACACTACATAGTACTTCACCACCAATCATACATAACAATTGTAGTGTTGTTTACCTAAAATTTTAATTATTTACTCTCAATTCACCCCCATTTCCCTGTACCACAATTAACTCAAATATTCATAAAACCAGGTACAAGAAGTTGCATCATTATAAGCATTTAAATATTAAAAAAAATCCAATAAATTAAACAATTTCTTCAACAAAATTAAAATATTTCATCATCTTATTTCTGTTGAAAAAAAAATCAATTTTTTATCTTTTTTCAAACGGAAATTTCTATCTTATTTTTTAATATTAAATAAATAAAATAATAATCATCTTATTTCTGTTGGAAAAAAAATCAAATTTTTATCTTTTTTCAAACGGAAATTTCTATCTTATTTTTTAATATTAAATAAATAAAATAATAATAATACGAACAAAAACTTTTATAAAAACTTGTCAAAGAATGCGATTTGTGACTTTACCCTATCAAAATGATTAATCATAAGCACCGGTTAATTGCTTTATTTAATTTCTCCTTCCAAATTTAAGTTGACGTCCCAAAAAAAAAAAAAAAAAAAAACAACAAATTTCCTAAAACAGAAAATTCAAAACGTTGACCAACGGGGTGACTAAGCAGGATACCAACAAACGACAAAGTCCCAATCAATCACCACCACCTGATCTCTTCAGCTGTCCCTACATGTCCCG